ACAGTAAATAAGCCAAGATAAAAATAATTTTAACATACTTTTCCTTGATGTTGAAATTTTAAAATGGGTCAATTTGACCTGAATACCTTAGGAGATTAAAATGATTGCTGTGATGAATGGTCCCATCGATAAGGCTGTACATAACTTTCATGTTGCGTGTCCGTGCTTGTGCATGAGCAACCTTACCGTGCCAAAGCCCAGCTCCTCAGACCATGTCAGGGCAAAAGAAGTGTATCGTACGGAGCACTAGTCAAACAAACAAGACTTTGAGGGTCAAATATGTTTGGGCACAGTACGGATTAATTTGGCCCTAGTCTAAATGAGCCCTTTATACGCTCTGTAATTTGAGAGCTGAAAAGCACTAAATACACATGCACACAAAAATACGGTTTTGGTCCGTGATTGTGGAGTTCGAAATTTAGCTATACTTTTTCTGCTTGAACAACATGGTCTTTTCCACTTGCAATGTTATACGGGCAAAATGTTATCGTTTTAAGCTCCATATTCAAGAGTGTATGTGTGAAAAGAGCTAATGATTTTCACCACACTGATATTGTTACAACATGAATGAAATTCATATAATGGACCTTTTGAGTATATCCAATATTGAGCAACGCTAGTGACATATTCATACTTGTTTAGGATATTGAAACTTCCCTTCTCCCCTCCAAACAGTTGGAAGGCATAGTAGTGACACCCAGTGCCACCTTGCAACTTTCAGTTTCCAAATGAAAACAACAGAAAAAATGCTGTATATATAAAATGTCCTGATACTTGTGTATTTCCAAAATGTCATATGGATTGATTCAACTCTGGCATTACAATTTTAATCAGCGGTGTAGAACCAGGTGTTTAAACGCATGCGGCAGCGCTCCAGGCCATATGAAATTGGACAAGGCACCAGGAAATTGTGTCTCCTCCAGAAACAAGTGTTTTGTGATTGTTTACCCCATGTCTTTAAATTGCATTTCTTCCTTTTTAATTTAAGCACCTTGGCTATGGGATTGGAGGGGGGAAAGCAAGAGGAAAGGGGAGGTAGAATGAATGAATAAAACCTTTTCTACTATTTCTCCCTCTTTCTATCCCTCCATCCTTACTGGTATTAACCCTGTCTGATGTGATTCCTGTCAAATGCAAATGTCACGACCTGATATGGTCAGCCCACAGGGCACTTTGACTACATGTTCTACATCCAAATTAAATATGTAGTTGTAAGGTGTGTGTACTTGTGTCTTTGTGTGTATGCGCCTGTAAAAAACACATGCACGTGTGAGTCTGACTGGCTGATCTTGACATATTTGCAATTACAAAAAGTATAAGCAAAAAAAGGATCACTGGGAAGACAAAAATAAATCAAGTGCGATAAATAAAGTACAGGTTTCCAAATGTAACACCTTCATTTTCACTGCATGCTTTAGTACCTACAGTGTATGAATGTGCAGTACAATCAATAGCTCAGGAAATGAGAAACTCAAGAAATCTCAAAAAAGTTCATGCACAATTCATTGTACAAAAAAAGACCAAAGCAAGCACTGATCTGAGGTGAAAAGCAGCTTTTTTCTATCTGTTACCTTAATATCGATTTGGTTGTTTTCTTTGGAGTTGGATACAAAAGCTAGACTTTGATTCAAATTGAGCAATCAGGTTAATTTTTTTTTTTAAAAGGGAAATAAAATGGGTTGTCATAAAAAAGAAAAATGATGTGCAGTGAAAGGCAGAATGCTATATGACAACAAGTCTTTGATAAAACATACAATTGTATTAGTTTATAATTCATTTTAAATGCCCTGTGTGTAAAAACATCTGCTGCATTTTCATTGTATTCAAATTTTTTAACAAATTGGGCGAAAGATTCCCTTCCGTATTAAAGTAACAGATTTGACGGTTATGTTGGTCATTAACATTTTGTACAAAATAATGACAAAAGTAGCAAAGCATACAGTACCTCACTACTCTCCAGGGCTTTACTGCCAGAAAAAGTGACATCACTGGGCACAGGTTACATGCCTTTATATAAATGTGTTTTTCCGATTTGTATGGGGTTTTAAATGTAACTGATTTAATTACTGAAATATACAATACAGAAAAATATATTCTCTAAAATATATTGTAGCTATACCTCTATGGAGTTATCTAAAAATTAAAATAAACCTGAAAATTAGCTAATTAATCATGGGTTGGGTTGGAGTTATTTCATTGACATTCACTGTATAAAAAGAGCCTCAAAAATGTGTCGAACATTATTATTGGTGAAAGCTGAGGAAAGTTAGAGTAGTTATTCAAAATTGTGTAGTCAATCAAAGTTGTAATCTTGGAGACATCATTCTTGAAGAGCCATGTAAACCTCTATACATTTTATGCTCAAGCTTTTTATAATCATTATCAGAATCAGAATCTTTTAAATTGTCCAGGTATATGGTACACACACAATGAATTTGACTTTGTTCTGTACGGACGAGCATATATATATATATATATATACACATATATTAAACTAAATATATAGGCCTACATAAACTGGGCAGTAATTGTCACACAGAAGACTGTGGCCCTTCCATGAGTCCAACCATTGCAGCTGAGTGACTCTCTCTACCCTAAACACAGAATAGTATACAGTAGAATTTAACATGATAGACCTGTCCCATAGTCACTAAGTTTAACGCTGGAATTTTGAGTTTATCGTCAGAATTCTGAGTTTAAGGTCCAGAAATACTTTAACTCCAAATGTCCCGCATTTAAGCAGAGATTTGTCTGTTTTACTACTGTTTTAACTGTTTCACATACTACAGGCAGCCACGTTGCAGGTTGTCTTGCCAATCAGTCTAGCAGCGTGTCCCAGTGGGAAAGTGACAACGAATGAATACCATCTAACGTTGAATCCAGCGACCAGTTTTACTGCATATTCACCATTGCTTAGGTGGTAACTCAGTGAGACAGTTGTATGAAAGTCAATAGAGAGATGATGATGAATATACCTTATTGAGGTGATTGTAACATTATTTATAGTATGTAAAGACATAGTTGCAACAACAACCTGATCACATAATGAAGACATACAGAGAAAAACTCGCCAGTCTGCCACATGTTTATGATGAAGTACCGATAGTCATCACAGACTAGTTGCATTGGCAAATAAATATGTTTAACATATAACTCACGTAATTTCTCTCTTCTTTTTATGTCCATAAAACTGGTCTGGATGGATAACGTACAGCTCTTACTTGTTTATGCACATAGATTGTAGACATGTTAGTGACATATCCACAGTATGTGTGTAGTAAAAGTTAAACATTTAAACTTGTGACAGCAATTAAATCTCTTTTTAGTCTAAACATTCTATAGCCGACAAGTGATAGTTAAATGCCGATTTTGTTTGCGAATGATCTGTAGGATACTATACTTATACGTTAATCTGTTCTTTTATTAATGTGTGTTCTTATTTGTATTTACTCATACCCCATGAAAAGGCAGTGCACTTTTTTCCCCAACTATGCTTTGAAATTAATATTTAATCTTTTGAGTTAATCTTATTCTATATGCTTAGAACAAAAGAAAAGGTTACATCTATTAGTAGCATCTAGAGAATGACTCTATGATGACTCTGTATGTATTGGAGGAGGAGATGGTTTGGTCCTTAAGTCTTAAAATTGTGCATTTGTGTGTATGTGGGTTCATGTTGTGGGTATGTAGATGTATGATGGACAGGGTGTAAGGAGTCACAGGCCTGAATGTACTGTGATGTTTCCAACACTAGGGGGAAGCATTTAACCAGTTATGAAGTTCCATTTAAATAAAACAACCCATAACACTGCATCATATAAGTATACATATTAGTATACGAATTGAATGGTTTGGCACAATCATACAATGATAACATAAAGCTTTAAACAATATAATATATTGGATATACATACTAAGTGGTTCTGAGAAATTGCACAGAACCAATAACTGCACTTAGCATTACACCCAGTCAGTTACAGACACAACACACACACACACACACACACACACACACACACACACACACACACACACACACACAGAGTGTAAATAAAGCTTTTGTAGAACAAACAGCCTACAGTTCATTGCTGTCCAATAATAAACACCAGCTTTTACAAGACCCACTCCTTTGCTGCATGAGACCATCATTGTGGTCTGCTAATAGATGTAACCTTTAATTTGTAGTCTAGCTACTTAATAGCAGATGGTAACACATTCCCAGAAGCATTAAAAGCCTAAGCAACCAGTGTTCTTGATACAGGTAGATAGATAGATAGATAGATCTTCTATATAGAAAAATACCCGAATAGATAGAAATAGATAGAAATCCCCGAATAGATAAAAAAATCCCCGAATAGATAATAAAAACATTTTCAATGTATATTTACGGAAGCCTTTGGTCTTCTATGATCAACCAGTGGCAACATAAATCGTTTTTTTTTCTCTCTTATGAATTTAAACATTTCCCCATGCTGTGTCTATTTAAATACCCCGATAAACTCTGGGGAAACGCGAAAATAAGGACATGTTCAGCCATCTGGAGAGTATTGCGAAGTTTGAAAAGGCGATATCTTGGAGAGTGTTAAAGGCAGCAGCATCACATCATGTATTCACAGCAGTAGGATGGATACAAATGATGTATCTTGCGCATGCGCTCTGACAGAAGCTGAATCGTGGCTCTGTTAGCATCCTGAGCTAGCGGACTGGTTAGGGAACACCGTGTAGAGGGAGGCGACCTGCGCACTGTAGGCAGAAATATATCGGCGACTTCAAATACTCCCAGCTAATCCTTGAGCTAACCATTATCCCTCCATGCTGTCCGGGAAAGAAAGATAACGATAATAACCCCGCCACTGCCACCTCAATTAGCCACCGTGCAGTGAAGATAGGGGGGAAACTGTGTTTTGCGTGACTAGTCTCCTTTTCAAGCAGAATTTCGTTTTCTATTTTGAATATTCAGAATTAATCTTCAACCTCGACCAACGTTGCTCCTGTGAAGAATGAGGTTGCCGAGTCACAGACAATGTGCGGTGGAAGGAGATGGAAAGAAGATGGACCAAGCTCCTCCGTTCAGAAACCCTTTTGTGCACCTCTTGAAATTTACCCCTCTGGAGAAAGCAAAGGTAAATACATTCACTGTGCAAATGTCCTAATCTTGTGCAGATACACTAACGAGCAGCGAGGTGTGTTGTAGGACATTTACACCTCAGTGCGACAGTGGAGATGCTGTCATCCTCATTTAACTTTTACAGATTTTTATTTCATGTTGTCAGCTGAGCTAGTGTTAGCCAGTCAGCTAACTGTGGCTACATACATGTTGCTTTCCCCTTCTCTCTTATTGGCTCCCTTATGTGCCTTAATGCCGCTTAAATGACAAGTCTCTTTGTTATAGGGTTTTCTTCAGCTGTAAAAACGGCATTTATTTCACATATGAGTACATACAAACAAACATATGTTTTCTCATCCAGGTATCTGCTAACAAACCACTAAATGGTTTGAGCCTGACCGCCTGTCCATGATGGGCCTAGCTTGTTGCTCTTTAACTGTTGTCACATTACATTGCTGCATGCTGCTTGCTTGGTAGCTTTTACAGGTTTTCCTTCTTATTGCAGAAATAATTAAGTATCTTTATTTAAAAAAAAAAAAAAAAAGGTAACTCCTGTAGCCACACAAGCGTTGTTAGTAAATCACGGTGCGTCCCAGCAACCAACACGTGTGGATGTGGAGGCTTTGAAACAGCATAAAAAACCTGTCAGTCGTGTCCTGTTTACCCCAAATCAAATCCTGGGTCTGCCAAGATCTGTATCGGTATATCAATTGAAGAAAAACAAAAATAGTTTGGCAAAATAGTTTTGCAGCATAGGTCAGATTTATGCAGCCCAGCCATCCTTAATTGTAATTGAAAATCAGATTGAGGCTTTTAGACTTCGCTGCAAAGGGTTTTACATTACATACAACTCAACTCCAAGCTAAAAAAAAAAGTATAATTTGGATGCAGATGCATAGCCATTACAAAAATGGCTATAAATCCTCCTTTATCTGATTGGTGTTACAAAGCAGACAGCTAAAGTTGTCTCTTATTGCAACATGTGGCGTTAGGCACAGATGAAGGAAACCGCCACTCACCACAGTATTACATTGATCTAGTTATTTCAAACTGGGGCTGATAAATTTGGAGGCACATGTCGGCTCTTTGTCGTTCACCTCGTATGATCTCTCTTTGAATAGCTTAGTTAGGTAAGTGTCCACGTGTTTATGTCTGTGTGTATCCACACTTACCCTTGGGTAAGCATTAAAGTTGATCCCTCTACAGTAAAATGTATATTTGTACAGTAATTGGGTTTGACAGCCAGTCTTTAAGTATTGTTGATAGACTCATTCCACCCGTAGATTAAAGATAGAGAGAAAGACATGTTATGTCATGAGAAAATAACTTGGCACACCTTTTGCAAAGCTTTGAAATGTAAAAACAGAAGCAAGTATTCTAACTTGCAGTTTGATAGATACCAAGCAGTGTTCATCTTGTATTATATCGTTAATTAGATGTTATGCACATGTATTTCATTTATATAAACCCTCACAATTATTAGATGAGCACACTGGGTACATTGTTAAGTATTTGTAAACAATGTGGAACTGGGTCTTAGCTGTGAAACTGTTCAGTGTGATGGGAGAGCCACGGTTTTGTGAATGGCCCCTGGCATAGCAAGCATATAAGCGTATCTTGTTACAAGCTAGAAAGGTGACCTAGGGAGGTTCAAACATGTTTTTTGCCGTCTGGCTCTTGTAGAAGAGACTGAAAGGAAAAAAGGGTGGGATGTTAGGTGGATCAAAGCTAAGGGGAAAGGCAGAATTTCGGGTTACTCTTGTAATGCTAACATAATGAAGTCAAGAAAGTTATTCACAAGCACTACGGTTTATCATATTCATTTAGAACAAGTCTAATGTACCTCATAGGAAACTTGTTACCTCAGCACGTTGTGATTACATGTGCAAATTAACATTTGTTAAGAAATGTCACCCAAAAAAAAAAGACAAAATATCACTCTTTCTGCTCACATACATAACTTTACATAATAGAAGTCAGAGTGGCTGGGCACTTAAAAACAGGTTTCTCATAAACATGAAGTGCTGAAGCAAAAGTGGGTCACCATGAAGTGGTGGAATTGAGTTTCCTAGGGTTTCTGATGTAACTGAGAAAAAGTGTTTTCAGCATGTTGCACAGATCTTGCTTTTGCATCTAAAGCAGCTAGATAAAAAGTTAAGTGACATTTTTTGAGACAGAAAAAGGTGATAATACAGTAGACTGACAGATGAATCCACAGAAACTGTTTGAGTTCAAAGAGAAAAGTCATCGTATGCACCCATATCTTTTACTAACAAAATTATCACAGTTAAGTGACGGTCTGCAACTGAAATGTTTGAACTGGGTCAGAATAAATGCATGATCTGCCTACAGTTATCATAATTCAACCAATGCATTGTAGTTTATGGTGTATGTTGTTGTAGTGTCTGGACAAATATGGATTTATTATTTTTCTGTACATTATTTTGTCTACATTATACAAACCTTCTATACAGCTCTTTTTTATGGTATCAGGTCATGTTTTGTTTTATTACCAAATGAGAATTTTGAAATTTGTGCAATCTTTAAGAGTAATCTCTGTGAATGACCAAACACTTTCCTTTTAAGGGTAGGATAAAGACCCAAAAGAGTATAATGTGTAGATCAATTTAATAAACATGTTTCTGTTTATTGATCACGATCATTTTGCTCACAGTGAAAAGGGTCGGCGTAACAGACTTTTAGAGTTAAAGAAACTGGAGATCTTTCACTTCTCACCCAACTTGTGTCCTTTCAAATACTCATCTGTTGGCTTTAAAAAAAAAATTTTTTTAACAATTCATAAGCTCAACCTTTCAACCCTTTTAATGACCCTCTTGCCTCCTTGCTCCTTGATAAGCTAATTAATTGAGCTGATTTGATGGTAAACCAGATGTAATAATTCCATTTAACTGTCATTTTGTTGTTGTTTCAGATATATTCTCTGTCCTAATCAACCAAAAGTTGATGAGGTGTCAGAGAGCAGGCTGCTATAGGGCAAAAGCTAATTTGATTCCTTCCTTTACTTTTACTTTAACAAGCCTAATTTGCATGCTATATGTGATTAATTGGGAAACCAAACAAAGACTTAAATCTTTTTAGATCCTCCCAAAGAGGCAGGAAGTCAATAGCCCATTCCCACGATACAAAGATCAGTAATTCTGTTGATTGCTGCCGAAGAGGGCAACATGTAGGTTTCTCACGAGCAAAGTTGTATTCACCAGACAGAATGATAAGGCGCTGTTTGCTGAATTTAAGGTTTTGGGTTGAAAAGGTGAAATAACTCAATGTATCATTTCATTGGCCAATTTATCACATTGCTTATCACTGAAATCTAAAGGTCTGTTTATATAGTTCAAAATAATTAATGAACTATCCTCTGCCGTCCCGCAGAAAATAATGCTTCTGCAACTTCTCCCTGACCTTAAACAAAGTTGAAAAAAGTATTCAGACTTGTTCGAGGGAAACCTCTTCATATTTCATAATGAGTAAAGGAAGCTCGTACCTTTTATTGACCTTTAAAAGGTTTCATTTCAAACATTTATATCGCAAGGGTTCTACTGTGTTTAGCAGAGCTTCCTGTTTCACTGAGTGTAAGGTGAAGATGAGTCAATGACACCAGATAGAAAGCATATCTTGTAACCATGGCTGTATTTTTGTCACTGGAAGAACATTAAGGCCTTCATAACCGTTTAAACAGTTGGAAGAAAAAAATATGACACACTGCTATCAGCTACATGATGGGCCAACAGCTTCAAAAAGGTAGTGCTGACCAAGTAACCATGGTTTAACAATGCATTCAGAGTTAAAGCATGTAACTTTGAACTGCTTAGAGGATAGTGTGAAGTTACCATTCTAACAAATGCTTGTAACCATGCACAGCCTGTTCCCCTGTTCTTGAGCTGTGGATTGATAAGTTAAATTAGTGGCTAGTTTAAGCCTTTCATGGTCCTTTTTGTATGCGTGGAGGTAATAATAAAATATTGCATTAACTTACATTTTGTTAATATAGAAATGGCTACACCTTCCACATCCTTGTTACAATATAGGCTCTTCTTTGCCCACTACAATGTTATTTTTAGCCACATCAGTCTGAATTAATGCTTACTTTGTTCTCCTATTTACTGTTAATTCTTATTGCATGCATTTCAAAGCCTTTTAGTACAATGCCTCAGTTCACTCTACCTCCTAAATAACCTCTCTGCGTTTGTAGCTTTGCTTTTATTTTAACTCTAAGTGACATTCATGCATTCTCATGCTTTGGGTCTGAATAAATCTTTTAACAAATGCATTATACAGTGGCTCTAAAACATTCCATGTAAGTCACCTTTTGCTATAGGAAAAAAGCCCTATTACTTAGTCAGTTGTTTTGCTTTCTTGTGCCAAATTGTATTCTTCCTGTGTGTGTATAAGAGATCTCTGGTTCTGGTGCTTGGATTACAACTCATTAATGTATGTTGAGAGGATCCTGGGGAAGTAAAAGGAGGAAGTATGAAAGTAAGATTTCAGTGCTTCAGTATAATTTAAAAAACACATCAATAATAGATTATGCCATCATGATGTAAACAGTGTTACTTCTCGAGGGCAATGTTTTTTTTTCCTTTGGGAGTTGTGTGTGTGTGTGTGTGTGTGTGTGTGTGTCTCCAACTCCTGTTATTTAGTCTGTATTATCTGCTTATTGTTGGTCAACAAGCAAGCTTTAAATTGACATAACTGTCAGGCTAGAAATCTCCCTGAGTACGATAAGAGAGTGCGGTCAACCTCATGCTCCCCCTGGGGTTAGTTACTATCAATACAAATACTGACAGAAGATAAGCGCCACATTCAGAGAGTCATGAAAAGCTGTAAAGTAAACAGTCAACATTGAAGTTCAGGTTTTGTCAGCACCAATGAAGAACATGTTTTAAAACAAACAAAATAAAGTTACAGTCCCTTTATTACAGGAAGAATACACCAAGGGCCAGAAACACAATCTCCTTTCAAATATACAGTACCTACAACACCGAGCAATTTTATGTTGACATTTTTCTGTTTTGTATAGCAAAGCTGCAGGTTACAACTGTAATTAGCAATCATTTCTTATGATGCTCAGTAGACCATAAACGTCTCTTTTGCTTTAATGCATGATTGAAGTTACATTTCAAGTACTTTCTATCTTTTCTTTCTCGATTATTTTTGGATCAAGGTGTAATAAAATCTGCCATGTTCAAACTTCCTGACAGCAGACATGTTAAGAGTAGACTTTCTTTGTTTTTTTGCTGTGTTATGACTTCACTGTTAAAGTACATTCATGTAGGGATAATGTAGAAAAAGTTTCAACAAACATGTTTAATTGATGTTTTTTTAACTCTGTTCTTTTCTCTTTTTCTAACTCTCTTGTAGATTGCTTTTATGACAGTCACACTGTTCCCCATCCGTCTACTCATAGCTGCATTCATGATGCTGCTGGCATGGCCTTTTGCCTTCCTGGCCTCAGTAGGGCGCTCAGAGACCACCATTGAACCCCAGTGCCTCTGGAGGAGGTGGGTGCTATTTTTTTTTTTTTCTCGTGTCATTTTTCTTGACATTTTTTATTCCAGGAAGAACTGTAATTCTCATTCATCATATATCAAATATAGAGAAGCAGTTTTCAGATCCAATCCAATTCAGTTTATTTGAACTTTGTGTTGGCTTCACATACAAACAGGTAGAAGCAACAACTGTAAGGTGTTTATTGAAAAATATTTTCAGGAAATGCTAGAATTGTACTTTCAATCAATCGTCATACAGAAGGAACTGTTCCATCTCGTCTGAACGTCTTGATGACGACGAGTTGTTGGCACTTGCAGTTCAGTCTGAATGTCTTCAAAGCGGGATAGTGCGAGTTCACCATGATTGCCCAACGATTGTCCTTGATCGGTGACGTGGCTCTACACCAGCGGTGTCCAAACTTTTTTTCTTGTGGGCCAAAATTGTCGTGTTAGAATCTCTCGCGGGCCACAGGTTTTTTTTTTTGGTTTTTTTTTAAATATAGTTGAAAAAATAGTAAGGCTTTGTAGATCAGAATCTAAAGAAACCCTTTAATAAAAGGAAATCAAATATTTTGATTTCTTCGTTTTACTTTATTTGTTTTTTTCTCAGAGCCTGTAACGTGGTTCATTTAGCTCAGGTCATTAAATGGTTAAACAACAGTCCGCTTGTTTGCAAAAACTTTGCATACGTTTTTTTTTCATAGTTTACAAAAAAATGTGGAAAATAGTAAAATCTGTAGATTTAAAAAAAACAACAACATACATGTTACTGAACATTTTCTGTTTTAGGAATATTGTTCAGCGCTTGTTAACATGAAAAATAAAAATAAGATAACGTGCCAATCTTAATCAATAAAATCTTCTGATTCTTCATTTGAAGTCACGGGCCGTAAAAAATCCCCTCGCAAATGGCCGCAAATGGCCCTCGGGCCGCACTTTGGACACCCCTGATCTACACCATAAGTCCAATATTGGATATGTAAATTACCAGATAACAGATCTGTGCTATGTCTAAAGTCTATAATGTAGGAGCTGATATCTGTGTTTTATGTGCTAATTATAATAAATGCATTGATACATTAATTGCAACAATGTTTTTGTGCCAGCCCTTTGCATGTGTTGTTAAAAATGCAACAGTGACAAGAGCACTGAGATGTTGTGCATGTCACAAATTGGGCTTGAAGATTCAATTGTTAAATTACCCATCTCATTTTAATCTGAGTCATTCTTGAGCTGTGATAGTTCAGTTGTTCTACCCTCTGTCTTCTCTGTACTCGCTGATTGTTTAATAATCTTTCCAAGAAGCGTGCGTCTACAGCAGCTCTAGGTCTCCTTTTACCAAACACTTCACTCTCAGTGAAAAACTAAAAAAAACACCTGAAAGGTGAAAGACCATGTAGCTAAATATTGTTATATTTTTATAGGAGACCTGGGTTGTAATTTAAATATGTGCGATGGTTGATGAGAGATGAAGTGAAATTGTGTTCTTTAAACTGACGAGAGGTTTAACAGAGAAGAGATGGGACAAGTAGGTGAATGCAAACAGGTGGTTAGTTACAAATAGCTCAGAAAACTCATTGTCAATATGTCCCTTTGGGCTTGACAATGCAAACCACTCAACAACAGCTCTAAAGGAAATAATAGTTTGAAGTCGTTTACATTTTTAGGATGAGTGAATCCCAGTGTCTGAAATAGGTATGACAATCAAATCTTTCATATGGCATTTTTAAAAGCAGAGTTGAATCTGCTACTTAATAGCCTTCTTTGCAAATTCTCAGTCTGGATTGATTTATTGTGATGGCAGTTTAGCTTTTGGCCCATGCTGGCTATGAAGAAGGGAATGGTTTTGTGAAGTGAAGGCAGATAATGAAGAAAGAGGATCTTAAATGATGTTTAAACTGTTTTTGTTGTTAAACGATCACTTTTTGTCACTGCACACTCATCCTGTTAATTTCAATTCATAATTCGTATCCTACTCGGTCCTCTAGGTCAACTACATTTTTGCCATTCGGCATTGCATTATTCTATGTATCTGTTATTCAATGTAGGAGATGTGTTATCCCAATCAACATTTTATATGAAAGAGTCCCCTCACACATGCTTTTTATTATTTGCAGACTGGTGGACATAATACTGAAGATCATCATGCGGGTCATGTGGTTTGCGGGAGGTTTCCATTGGATGACTGTGAAGGGGCGCAGAGCATTGCCTGCGGAAGCACCCATCCTCACCCTGGCACCTCACTCTTCGTACTTTGATGCCATCCCAGTCACTATGACGATGGCCTCAATAGTCATGAAGGCCGAGAGCAAGGATATACCTCTCTGGGGCAGTAAGTCTGAAACAGATGTACATCATATTAAGCCGTTGTCACATGTATTGCCATTATCTCGATTGTGAAGGTGGGAATAGGTAATCTAACAGACGATGAGTGGTGGGATTCTTCATTACAGAATTACAAAATCTATTCGACAAGATCACAAACTTCTGAGCATAGGCATCGTTGTTACCTATCTTGTTCAGCCACATGTTGGCCACTACATCATGGTCAGGTCCAAACACTTAATATGGTTTTGCTACTTTATCTGTGAAGAGAGGGGATCACCCATCACTTAATTTTTTTTATTTCATTTTTATTTTGTTCGATGAGTTGAATCCAAGTACAACTTGGGTAAAGTTAAAAGCAGTGTATACCAGGAAATGGGTAAACACATAAAAGTAGTATCAAGGGCATACTTTCAACCGAATATTGTGCATTTAAAGATAAAAGAAAATTGGCAAACATATCAAACATCACTGCAGAAAATAACCATATATCATTATAAGCAGGCTTCATATCCTTGGTTTTGTACATTAACCAAAGGTGTCTCTGTATTTTGTTTCATTTTATTTAGATGGAAGGGACAAAATCCTACCTTAACCTCAGTCTCTTGTTATTATTATTTTTGCCAAACTCTAGTAACCCACAAGTCTGACTCAATACCTCTCCAATCAATTTATGAATTAAATAAATTAAGTCATCCACCTGCTATGTTGACACAAAACTGTTAAGAGAAACTGTTAAAGGATGATAGATAACAGCTCACTGAAGCTATGTGGGCACCATGTATGTCCACATGCAGAGGTCAAACAAATATACAAGTGTAACAGGAGATCCTATTAACTAGCTTGCGAGTTCAGGTACCTGACTAGTTGCCAGTTTAGGGATTTGTCCTTTTGGCCCTGCAGATTGATATATGTTAAAAGGCCTAGGTGTCAGTTATTTTAGTCTTCCTTTCTCCTCCTCCTGCTTAGGTCATTATCGACAGCTTTGTTTCCTTTTGGATGAATGACACTTGCCAAGTCACTGCTGCAGCCGTCATGCTGGTGTTGCAGGGTTAAGACACTTAATCTGGTTACAGTTGCTCATTGGTCCATTGTTTTCTTACTGCAATCAATCAAATGGGAGATGATATGAATAAGTTTGGTCCACGTACACTGTGCTGTCCTGAAAATGTTAAGGGATTAGTCACTGACTTATATGTGTTTATGTTATTTGGCTAGTCCTGCTAGCATTGCAGTAGTAAGCAGACCAGGCCTGACCAGACAACTGGTATCCAGAATAAGCATTAAGACCTAATCAGCTACAGTGACATGTGTGGAGTGTCTCTCACAGTACAAGCTGGATCTCTAATCCCTTCCTGTTGCAGACAGCTCACAGTAGGAATCAATTTCTCCTCCAAAGAACCCTGGCATCAATCGCTTCATTTTTCATCATACTCTTGCCACACTCACCTTGAGCTTTTTTTTCTGCCTCGACATGTTATGTTAATTTTTTGGTGTACTGATCAAGACAGTGCAAGGACAATGTTTCCTCTATCTGCAGAACCCCTTTAGATCCTAACGATAATGTTAAAAAAACACTGTCGGATAAACTGCTATGTAATTTCCTTGTAATATTTGACAGTCTCACGTTTGAGACCTGTTTGCAATAGCTGAAACAAAGATACCCACCGGACTAGAGTTTGGGGAGTGACAATTGCATCATTTGTGGCTGATGGCTAGCCACCATAGAGGCCGCTACCATTATAGCATTGTGGTTCAAAAGTTGCAGCCTCCCACGCCTTACCATTGTCCCTTTTTTTTTAGTTCAGCTCACACTAAGCTCCTATATCAGCATTAGTCATGTGTTTAACTGTGACTAAGGTTTATATGCCTTTCTTTGTCACTTGTGAAGGGATAACATCAGATTACCATACTGTCTGAGCAAAAAAAATAAATAAAGAATTGTAAGTGTTTGTAACAACATATTGCGATTTTGTCTTGCTGAAATATTTCCAGTTTTAAGCTCCGCTAAAGAAATCCATAATGTTTTCCTCCTACCTTTCCATTAACAAAACTTTAATTAAACAGAAGCTTGTTTTGCTAATGATTTGCTCTAACTTGTAGTTGTTTTAGGTATGTTTTTGGTTAACAGGCTATTTATTCAACAGTGCTTACAGTCATATGAATGTCCCATTAATAGTACAGCCATTCAACCACTCTATCATCACTGTGCTGCTCTGCAGGGGAGTGAAAGTTGAAATGAGGTGCCTAAATTGAGGACACCATTAGAGGATGGTTGTTCATTTAAGAGGAGATTTGTCTCTTCTATGACTGCATTTTAAAAGCAGATATAGTGCAATATTTTTCATAGTGAATGCATCAGACTGTTTGTTTTTAAAAGTTTTGATCATACTCTTTATTGCAGGAATAATTATTGTTTAAGGCAATTCAGAGTTCCCTAAAACATGAGACCATGTAGTGAAGCTTTATTTGCTTGGCTGTAAAATAATAAATAGAAGTAGTTTTAGTTTGTTTGTTAATTTGCAGTCTCTCAGCGCTTTCTGTTTTTTCTTTTGCCTCTAGCTTTGATAAAGTACATCAGGCCAGTATTTGTATCACGGTCAGACCAGGACTCCAGGAAGAAAACCGTGGAGGAGATCAGACGCAGAGCGCACTCTGGAGGGGAATGGCCTCAGGTAAATAGAATCCAAATTCCTCTGCATACATTGTATTAAGATACCAGATAACCCTGAAAAAGAACAAAGGCCTTGTTTAAATATAACGTGTCCTGAACATGGCCTGTGCCACATTGCTTTTTTCTGATCACAAAATAAATCAGTTGTTTCATTCTTCCTCATATCCTTACCAGCTTTTGTAAACGTAGTTTATGCATTAGAGTGGTCTCTGCATGAAAATACGAACAAATTCAGCCCCATATTGATTCTGTAAAACAGTGCATTTTATTTTTCAATACGGGATAATCCCTTGTCCTTGTCCACATGGACAAGGACAGGGTGCGAGATGAGTCCTGGACATGGGTGAGACATGTGACATTGACTAGTTAATTATAGATTATTTTAATGTAGAACCATGAGGGCACTAGGGAATATAATCTGGATCTATCTGTCTGAATCTGTCTGAATGTCACGGATGCTTTTTTTCGGTTTATCAGAGACTCCAGTCTTCAGTACACATGACCATGCTCTTTTTTTTTTAACTGTTGCAAGCATATATTCTAGTGTTTGAGCAATTGAATTTCGGTATATAATTCATTAAAACTTTATTTAATTTTGAAAAATCATTGATTGCACGGCCTCATTTTCATTTACATCGAGAGTACAAATGAATAAAAGTATCACGAAAACAAACAAGCAGAGCGCAGTTAAAAATAGTTGCATTCATAGTAGAGTAGTTTGTAATCATGTTTTTAATTGACCCATTTTAACAATTATGCTGAGTTTTCTTGATGTTTAAGGGGTTCCAGGTGTGTGCAGCACATACGTTTTTTCCAATTTTAATCTTTACTCGTGGCATGAGGCACTCATGGTACTCAAGTATTATAGAAGTGATGTAAGGTGGTCGATTTCCAGTGAGAGCTTTATAGATCAATATTAGCCAATGTCTGTCACGTCTTACTGTTAATAAGGTCCATCCAACTTTATCACACAGGATACAGTGATGAGTGGTATAATTAATGAACGATAAACCTGAGGGAGGAATAATAAACTGAGGCTCAGGGATTTAGGAGGGAGGTTATAGCATGTCCATAAGTTACATCTCTATAGTCCAGAACAGACGTGAAGATAGATTCTATTATCTGTTTTATACAGACCGCAGGGAAATGGGCATTACAGTTTAATAATACAGATACAATATTATTGATATAGATTGTAAAAAGTACAGGATCCAATACACAACCCTTTGGAACCCCTATTGACAGTGGTAAGTATACCAACCTATTACGTACAGTAACACATTGCTGTCTATTGGACAGATAGTTCTGAAACCAACAAGTAATCAAACCCAACATCATGTAGCCTCTGGAATGCTTTCGTTAAATTGACAAACAAATCAGCATAGTATTTCCTTCCATCAGCAGCAGATATCATGTTGTTTAAAACTAATGTAATAGCAGATTCAGTACTATGTTGAGCTCTGAAATTGGACTGGTATGGACTTGACACAGAAAATGTTGAGAGAAGCATGATTAAGGTTGATTTTTAGGAAAGTGTCAAGGATTTAAGAGAGACAGAACAGTTTAGAAAATTGGCCGATAGAGCTTCAATTTATCACCACCCTTGTGCAGTGGAACTACGTTTGATCTTTTCCAGACCCGAGGGATGACTCCATTTGCAATAGAGTGATTGAACAGATAAGTGATTTGTTAAGAGATTAGAGGGGCACAGACTAGTTCTAAAAAGTATGGGTCTGTATTATGAAAACTATGTACAAGTATATTCATAAATGGAGCAAAAAGTAAGGCAGATGTTTGCCAGATGTCAATTTTTGACGAGATCATTGTGGACCCAAGAAATTACCGGAGTAAAAAGGTAACAATAAAATGTTTAACCACAGGCAAATGGTCATTTAACCAGTAAAATCCAGCATTGAAGAAAACAATACGACTTAATTCTCATCTGAATTGTAGCAACTTGCAATAAAATGAACGATAACACTTTCAAAAAGCTTTCAGTACTGTATAGTATGGCAAGCCGTTTAGGAAATTAATATATTGAATATATTAAATGAAACATAGAATATATGGAATGAATATTTGAATATATTGAATGAAGTCTGAATATATGGAATTGAAGCTGATTTCAATTATCCAAATCCACCAGTTTCATTGTTGTCATCAAAAAGACACCCTGCTGAATATGCTGGTTTTGCAAAATGACATCAGCTGAAATATACCAATACTTTATTGAATGTCAAAACTTTTTTGAAACAGCTGTTCATACTCAAAATTACATGGATTATTTGGAATGTAGAATGCATCACCTTGAAGATCATCAGTTGATCTGGGAACACTTTACTGCTTATGAGTAGTAATGCTCAACAAAACATTGCTTAGCGTACTTTGTGCATCCATCTTTAGTGATTTCTTAAGTCTTTTACTAAGATGTAAGCTGAAATAACACAACGGACTTCCAGTCCATATATTCAAAGTTTCATTCAATATATTCAAAGTTTCATTCAATATATTCAATATATTCAAAGTTTCATTCAATATATTCAAAGTTTCATTCAATATATTCAAAGTTCCATTCATATATTCAAAGTTTCGTTCAATATATTTTAAATTTCATTCAATATATTCAGACTTCATTCCATATATTCAAAGTTTCATTCAATATATTCAGACTTCATTCCATATATTCAAAGTTTCATTCAATGTATTAATTTCCTGAACGGCTTGCCATAGTATAGTTCCTGTTTATAATATAGTTTTTTGCAATGTGTAAACCATTCTGTCTTTCCTACAGATTATGATTTTTCCTGAGGGAACATGTACCAATAGATCTTGCCTGATCACATTTAAACCAGGTAAAGTTTCTTCCATCATCATGGTCTCATTGAACTTTTCCTCTCTCTTTATTCCTTTGATGTTATACTGCAAGCTGTTTATTTAAAACATGTTCTCTTGTTTTGTATTCAGTCTAGTGTGCAAATCCACTTGTATTGTGTGTGTGTGTGTGTGTGTGTGTGTGTGTGTGTGTGTGTGTGTGTGTGTGTGTGTGTGTGTGTGTGTGTGTGTGTGTGTGTGTGTGTGTGTGTGTGTGTGTGTGTGTGTGTGTGTGTGTGTGTGTGTGTGTGTGTGTGTGTGTGTGTGTGTGTGTGTGTGTGTGTGTGTGTGTGTGTGTGTGTGTGTGTGTGTGTGTGTGTGTGTGTGTGTGTGTGTATTAGGGTTAGTCTAATGGTTTCCAATAGGACACATTTCTGATACACACAACACCTAGGTGCTAGTTAGGATTGTGTGCAGTTATTCTTGACTGGTTTTTAATGTATTTTTTTTCCTGCAGGGGCCTTCATTCCAGCTGTACCAGTGCAACCTGTGGTGATACGTTACCCTAATAAGCTGGTAAGCTAGTTTACCGGATACATAAGTAACACGGCATATTTGCAGCATTCTTTGTATATAAATCATAATCAAGTTTGTTTTCACACAGTCAATAAATATATTTTGACAAATTATGACATTATAGAACGTATGAGGGCTTGGGAGTTTTCTCAGCTCTGAATTCCTTATTTTTAAACAAACCTTTTATATTCAGCTTGAGCAGGGCTTTCCACTGACATAACGAGTTCCTGACTGTGTACCTGTGTAATTAGTGGAAAAAAAGTAGACAGCTAGGGGGGTCGGGGGCATGACCCCCTGGAGAAAAATTGTGTCCTGAAAAGCCCAAATTCTTAACAGTTAGGGAATTATTTTGCAAAGATACAATTTTGTAGGTGGGCAACATTGGCTGTAGGTAGCTCAGTGGTTCATCAACAGTACAGGGTTTGTAGAAAGACCGGTAATGAGGACCACTATCATTCAAAAACTTCTTTGCTTCAATGCTATCTACTATGGTGTGTATATATAGCATGGATACTGATTTTATCAATCACTATAGGAAATGTGCTTTTTATGCAGAGTATAAAACTTAAATATGTCATTTAGGTTTTAAACTTGATTGAATTATGAGAGGCCTGACATGCTATTTTTATTTTTTTCTGATTTAGTTCTATGTAGCATTTGAATAGGTTTTTATTGATTGTGTCTGTATGTATACTTTGGCCCTGTAGCCTGCTTGGCATCCTACCGGTCTCGCAAAAATGTAGCCGGTCACAACACTGGGTGAAGGATAAAGTAGGAATATATAGTATCTGTGAAGAACAAAATGTTCTGGGTAATACACAAACGTTCTGCATACTCAGCAGAAAGCACAGGGGAATCCTCTTTCAGACAGTGTCGTGGTCACGGTGTGTCATTTTTGAAGCATAGAGGAAATGGTTAATGCTCCAGCCAGGATTAGTTTATGATATTTTTTCTGAACCAATCAGAACTCAAACTGTGAATTATTGCTTGCACTGCTTGATTCTGAATTGGAAATTGTTCTGCCTTTAGAACTGCCTTTATATTAGGTTTTTATACTACTAAATAATTACTCGAAGAAAGTGCAATCCACACCATAAAAAATAACAATACAATTACTGCATTGATCTTCAGGGCTTCACTGGTATCCTGTGTGTCTGTTGTCAGTTTAAAAGCTTGCAAACCAGTTGAGACTTGTAATTATGGAGATGCATATTGTTGTGCACATGGGACTCATGTAGCAACAGCAGTAAGAGTGAGTGTATTATTTATGAATCCATAATTTACATTTGTTTATATAATTTATGAATCATATTTGCTTCCCATTGTGCTTCAGAACAGCCCAGTGAAATAATGATATTTAGTCGAAGCTTTCGTAGAGAAAAAGTGAGTTTTCCATGTTGATGTTTTAGCAACTTTGTGCTGACCAATAGAGTTGTTTCAGTCCAGTTATGAAAGGAATTCAGTGAAGTGTGCAGAGCAACTTTCTGATGGCCTGACTGGGAATCTGGCTAATCATGGTATGACTCGGAATTCAAGTGCAAAGCTCTGCTCAAGCTTGTTGTTCTATGGGAAACTAGGTGAAATAAAGACAAAGGGAGAAGGGATTGTTGGAGGACTTTGACGTTTCTTCAAAAACCTGTACTGGTTTCTATTAAAGGAGACATCATGAAAAGAAGCAATATTTGATATCAGTTGCTGTAATAGCATATTTTGATAGCATATTTCAGCCTAATGTACAACTCTGTGTATGCATGTTTTTATAGTGCTAGCATGCCTCTCTTTGTGCTGTATTTGATTTCAGAAATGTCCATGAGACAGTTTTCTATCCAAGTTAAAAAATAATAATAATGGACTGTGTAGCAAAAGTCTTTTTTGTTTGTGAGACCTGAGTCGTTTCAATCCTGTGCTTAGAGGTTAAATGTATCTCATAACCATTTGAAGTTAATGAGTGTTAAGATGTCAAAGATTGGTATTGGGGCCAATTGAGCTACTTTTAATATATTGGTATTACCTTGTATTTTCAAACATGTCTTTATATTTGAGCTATTCAGTTATACAGTATACATAATGATTTGATGATGAATCATTTCAAACTTGAATGAACAGTCACTTAAGACAATACACAAGAACAGATTTCCTGCCTATCTCGAATTACTTAGTTATCAGGTATTTAGTGTGAATTTACCGACCTCTGAGTACAGATAAAGATGTGCTCCAAAACTGCAACATGAATATAAATGATATATATGAGTATATCTTTTTTTTTTTACTTCATGTTTAATGTCTTTGCTTTCCATATTGTTTAGGACTCGATTACATGGACGTGGCAAGGGCCTGGAGCGTAAGTACACGTTTTTTATGTTTCACTCACTGCAAGGATACAGTAAGTGGTGTAACGGTTCACAGAGGTCAGGTTCAGTTCATCCCTCGGTCCGAGTTCAGTACAGGAGAAAAGCAACAAAAAGTCCCGGATCCATACTTCTAGGTTTTCCTAATTAATTGTGAAGTGACAGTAGTTCAAGTTACAATTTGTTCTAACTAGTGTTCTTTAGAGAGTTGCTAAAGTTGTGTATTCAACTTTTTCTTTAAGCGAGGACAGCAAAAAAAGCAAGACACAAATGAATACTGTAACATCTCCTGAATTGAAAATATACAATAATTACACTGTAAAATATGAACCTTTAGTGACAATGTATCATATGTATGATTTATGAAATGCGTGGTCACGTATCTTTTAGAGGCCCAGGATCCATCAGTTGTTTGTGAACAGCTAAATCTTAGTTTATGTATGCCAGTTAAGGACGAGGGACTGGCTTATATGCAAACAGGATGGGACATTAAAACAAGGTTTGTTCACTTTTAAATAATCCCATGAAGTTTGGGACCTCCACTACAGCATATGCATGTATAGTCTTAAAAACATAGTAGCTTAATGTCTTGGAACGTCTCTGCTTTTTCATCCAGAGGCTTTGTAAAAACAGCAGGGATACGTTGTTTGATACCCGTTTTCTTTTGCCTAATTGACCGTGTAATATTCATTATCTTGTCTGACGGGTTTCTAACGGCTAACCTCGCCGTGAACCCGAAGTTTCCCCTCACAACTTATTGAAAGAAGCAGGCGGGTCTTCTGACTCCGCTGTGTCATCTTCATACCGTATACTCTCCTCTTCTTTATGTGTTTTGTTGTGTTTGCTTCTTCTTCATGGTTGTTTCATAGCAGTTAGAAAACAGTTTTGAGCATTACTGCTTCTTGATGTGTATGCTGCCCAAACCACCATGGTCCGCACGTCACGGTCATAGAATGAAAATTCCTGAGTGGAGCAGAAAAGGAAATCACACATGGCAGTATCCACATGCCTCACTAATTTAAATGGGCATGACACGTTTGAACCAAACCACGACTTCTGTGTGCCATTACACCCCTAGCTTAAACTATTCACTCATTTAACATCCAGGTTCACATGATCAGCGTGTCTGATCTGATCAGTAGAAACAGAGTTTGTGATGATTCCTGAATGACTTTCACTATCAGGAATCAAAGCATGTTTGTCATTGAAAAGATTTTGCAGCTAAAACGGAAGCTCCTCTTTTGGAGATGAAAACTGCGGTCTGAACCAGAATCTCGACAATGAGATCTCAAATAGACTGGAAGCAGATTAGTCATGGCTGCAGGAGAAAGACTGCCCTTGTTATCAGTCTCTGTGGTGTCCTCAGAATACCTTGGCCTGTTTTTGTTCAGCACCATCGATGTGATTATTCTGTGAATGCAGTTTGATGTCACCTAACGACAAATGATCAGAACTTCTTACTATTCAGCTTAAAAGTCAGACATTCTGTATGTATGTCAGGCTTAAAGTCATATTTCTCCCCCTTAAACATGCTGTGAGTTTAATAGTTTAACCATGCCAATACTTGTTTTCATACCCTCATTCATTTGACCTGAGATGCATCCTGGAGATAACATACCTGGAATTGGTATTAAAGAATATGCTCTATTGACACAGACCCAAAAAATGTTTCTTTGTTTCTGTATTTCTTTAATTTGTGTGTCATTGTTTCCTGTGATTATCCAGGTTTGAGATCTTGTGGCTGACACTCTGCCAGTTGCACAACGAGTTTGTGATTGAGGTAATAAAAACGTCTGTACTGCATACATTTATATAACCCTTTAGATGATGCCCTCTTTATTCTCAAGGATCACAGCACTTAGAGTATTACAAGTGATTCAATGTATGTTGAAAAAAGACTCTGGTAAATGATGCCTTTCCTATTTTCAGAAAATGTTTGATGAATGAATGTTGGATTGATGATGAACAAATAAGTGTACCCAATCAGTTTCTTTTTATTATTCATACAATATAAAAGATGAATTGTGATGATATTTGGTTAACAAATCATCTTCGGCTGTCTGCAGTTCCTCCCCATCTACACGCCGTCAGAGGAGGAGAAAAAGAACCCAACTCTTTTTGCTAGCAATGTGAGACGTGTCATGGCAAAGTAAGTTCAAATACTTTTTTCATATGTTATTCATTTTTGCCAGAGGGGATTGATGGGAGCTAAATGTGTTGTTATTGTTTAGGTTTGTTTGGATGTGTAAACCACAAATACAACAATAAACTGATTTTTTAAAAGGGGGCATAGAGCTGTGGAACATCTTGTTTGTCTACATGGGCATAGTCACAACTTACTGTTTCATTGTTGTTTGATTACAAAATATTAGATATAAACGTTGCATGTATATGTTTCCCTCTATCCCTCTCAATGAGTGTGCATCCTGCGTAAGGTCATACCTGTCCTTCTGCTTGGAACAAAACTCCCGAACTGTGATTCAAATTCTGTATCATCCAACGGTTTAACCTCTATTTAAAGTCCTGTAAAAAAAAAAAGTGCTAGGGTTAAACAGAGTTCTAACACTGCCACACTCTGTGTTTGATGGGAATCTTCACTTTTGCAATGGAAAAAAAACCCATCCTTCTCAACATCCTAGTATCCATATGAGCTACTGCTCTGGCCTTAATAAGCCTTCGGGCAGGTATCAATTTGCACAAACTGATGTCCCGTCATTTCCTCCTCTATGCTGTGTTCAGAGCCCTGGGGGTACCCATCACAGACTATTCATTTGAAGACTGCCAGCTGGCCATGGCAGAAGGCCAGCTGAGACTGCCAGTGGACACCTGTCTGCTGGAGTATGCCAAGCTTGTCAGGAGACTGGGGTGAGTCGCTTCAACCTTCCAATGCATTCCTACGATTGAAGAGAAGTAAGCAGGGTGAGGGGCAAAATACTCAGGAAACACCACAGGGACCGAGATTCAGTGTCTGGATGTTGTACCCTCTTTGTGAATCTCAGCAGATGCAACTGGTCGTGTGCACAGGTGGGAAGGCAGTTGGAGATTGTGTACTACATACTGGTTGGTCAGGTGCCTGCAGAGGAGGGAATCTGTGGAGGGAAATAGTCTGATCTAAACTCAAAAGTACACTTTTTTGGTGAACCCTTCTTTGGCATGTAAAAGCCAAGGTGGGTGGGGGGGGGGGGGGGTTGAAAGGGAGTAAAACGTGAATAGATTACAATAATTCTTGAAAACATTGACAGAAAAAAACTGTCTGTGCCACAGGGACCATTATTCCTTTTTCCTTCTTCCTTGAATGTTTATTTACTGAAAGTCCTTGTTGATACTATGGTCAAGCTATTTATTAACAGAGTTGCTTGCCCTGCTGTTCCAGGTTGAAACCCCGTAACACAGAGAAGATCCTGCAGGAGTACGGGAACAGAGCCAGGAAGCTGGAGGGACAAAAGCTGGACTTGGATGGTTTTGCTCAGTTCCTCGACGTGCCAGTTTCAGACATGCTGCGAGACATGTTTGCTCTTTTTGATGAGGTAAAGACAGGGGATTTTTCCAAATTGTATAGTAAGATAGCTGACACATCTTAAAGGAAGCCGAATGAAGAACTGGAATCACAGTCTCTTGCTTTTTCGTTCTGGGAAACAAATGTCTTTTGACACCCAAACGATTAAGATTTTAATGCAGCAATGTTTCCCTTAGCTTAGCAACAATCACCCACAGGTTCTTCAATGAAATAAATATTTAGTCCTGCTCACATCCTCTGTCTATATCTTTCCTAACATGTTTTGTTCTTCTGTTTTTTAGCATGAAGATAACTGCATGGATATCAGAGAATTTGTGATAGCCTTATCTGTCGTATGCAGACCTGCCAAAACTCTGGAAACTATGAAACTGGCCTTCAAGGTATGTTCCACCACCAGACAGACTAGAGTTTCCTGTTCTCCCATCTGGTCAGTCACAACAGATGCATTTAAATGCCTTATTGCAGGTTGTCTTGTGTGTTTACTCTTCTGTCAAACCTCAGTTCTGTCTTGATAGTTAGTGATTATCATGCTGGTTTCTGTCTGATTGTTCACTCTTCTTAGGTCTTTCTTTCCTTAGATGTTTTTTAGGAATTATTTGTGGCAAAAAAAGAGCAGATCAAAAGTCTTGATAAACAGCTCCGTTGGCAAATGTGGCACCATGCAGGGTTCTCAACTGGATAAACAAAGTAGAGGAGGAGAGGCAGGAGAAAATCATAACAAAACAATCCTTTAACTTTTAATAAATGTCAATGACTTCTTCCAACCAAAACAAGAATCTGTTTGGCTGTGGACTGTACTGACTTGAGGGATCTTTGACATTTTATCATTAAGTTCATTGTGTGGTTTAATTAATAGACTGGGCATCAATTTTGTGTTTCCAGATCTCAAATGACCTCACCAGTATAATATATCAATATATCAGCACCTGTCGCAGGTTAGGTTTTAGGGTTCACTTTTGGATGAAAAAGAGATGGAGATTTGTTGTCCATATTAGTTCCATTTTCCAAATGGCAAAGCTCAGATTTGATTGTAAATTCATGTATTCATAAGTTGAGCAAGTTCTGTGACACTAAGGCTCAAGAAATCTATTGAGTATACATTTATTTTTTAATATCTATTTAATATATTAGTTTAGAAATGAACTCCAAGTTTACTGCTCAGACAACTCTGTCAGAGCAGCATGCCTCACAGAGATGACCATCTGCATTTCTCCACTTTGTACCTCCTCCAGATGTTTGAGGCAGAAGAGGACGGTGTCATCACAGAGATGGAGCTGGCAGTTATCCTGAAGACAGCGTTAGGAGTCAGTCACCTCAACGTGTCACATCTGTTTACTGCCATCAATGTAGAGGACACAGGGAAGATCACCTTCGGTAAGATGTACAATGAAATAATGTGTCACTGGTTGACAGTACTCTACTACACTACAGAAATACACTTAATCATTACATGTGAGACAGATTTGTCATCCTGGCCCTTTTTAACACTGTTTTTCTTGTTGCCTTTGTCTCTGGCGCCCTCTTGTGGTCTTTCTACAGACAAGTTCAGAAGCTTTGCAGAGCAGCACCCAGACTTTTCTGAGGAGTACCTGCACACAGAAAATGAAGGCCTCCACAGCAGCCCCTGCCATGGTCACTATACAAATCCCAGCCTGTCTTCCCCGGACCCGCAAGGCACTGCCACCCCCAAAATAGCTAACGGTATCTGCCCCGACTTCAGCCCCAACGACCGCGGCACAAAAGATGGACTCCACAAGAAACACAACTAAAACGGTTAAAAATATGTTGAAGCAGAAAAGTAACCCCTCTCCTGGTGAGAGGGTGCTGAGTAGGTAGTTAACTTGTTTTCCTGACCCTTATTTTTTATTTGTATTGTTTCCATGAAATTACTGAAGCTATGTTCAGCCTGGTAACAGCTTTTTTTTTTTAAATTTAAACAAATGTTTTTTTTTATGATTTTTCATAGCAAAGATCGTCAAAATGCCAAACAATGGATGTTTCAGATATAATGTTTGAATACTTAAAGGGCAAGCACTTACAAAGATTCATGGGGCAATTTTTTTATTTTTTTCCCTCTAACATAGTGCGAACTGCATGTTTTTAACATGAGGGAAGCAAGAAAACCAGACCGCCCTAGATGGTAAAGTTTTCATTTATTTGCGACTTTTATCTGTTTCCTCTCTTTATGGGTAGCTGCCTTTTTTTAGCTGAAAGTGCAGAATGCATGGGCTCATGTTATTTTGAGCAGTGTTGAAGATCATTCATGTAAAGAAGGGGGACCCGAGGGTACCAGTGACAATTGTGTGACTTCTTTCTACTAGCCACATTTGAGGCAAACCCCGGGTCTCTGTGGTTTGATGGTCATATTTGCTATGAGCTTGTTACATATATATGAATATATACAGTGATATATTTTTATTTAGCTCAGGGTTCAGTGACAAAAATGAAAAATGTAACTTGTATGATGTCATCATTTTTGGCACTCACTGGGGTCCCGTGCATGTCTCTGTTTTCTCAGTACTCTTCTCACCTTTCATTCCTCTTTCACATTCACTTCATCGATGTTATTCTTTCAGGTAAGCTTATTCAAGTGTCTTCTTTAATTGTTGAAATTTCACAACGTGGACCAAAAATGCATTTGGTGGTTTGATGTCACCTGTCATCTTAGTGTTTTTCAATCCTTATAATAGCTAAACGGGGAGCCACTGAAAGCACATTCAGTTTGTTGGCTTTGCTTGGCAAGGTCACTCGTCTCCCCTTTGCTTTACATTCATTCCTACCTTTTTCCACAGCGTATTATCTATCAGCCTAATGTGTGAAAGGATTGAGAGTTCAAACATTGGGCCCTTGGTCACGTATAGATTTGACCCTCTTAGATGTGCATTGGGAGAAACTGTATGCTGCTTTAATTCACTGACAGGGATCCAGGCACCTTTAAAATCTGTGTCGATATTTAGGGCCAGACACAATCGGAAATATCAAACTTTGGTTATATTACTACCAGGTCTTCTAACATTGGTCCAATTGGCAAAACTACATTTGTCCCTAAATGTGTTAAAATTGACCTCTCAGTAAAATAAGAGTTTGATCTCAGTCTGCAAAAATTGCAGCTTTGCATTCATTTTTAATTCTTTTTTTAATCATTTATCAAAGTACGCAGTTACCTCTATTAATACTGGGGTATGACTGACATCCTTTAAATTAGTCCAGTACTCTGATTTAATACAAGAAACCTGACCTGAATGTGTTGACTAAACCTGTGGTGAACGCTAACGGTCTTTTCAATCATCTGAAAACAAATAACTCTGTTTCTGATAAGAGCACACATAACAAACCTTTAGATTAGAAAGACAAAATGAAACGTTGTATTGTGGCACAACTTTTTCACATGATGTGATTTTTGGGGAAATTAATAGTAAAAAGGGAATCTCTCCTGAGCAGATGGAATGATACGCATCAGAATCTGTCTGTTGCCACTTAATACTTGGGATATGTGCATTCATGGCTTTGTGCTGTTGTCTTTTTGTTTATGGCTATCACATGATACTCAACCTCAGTCTTTTCTTCTTATTGAAATGATTTCATCGTGCCGGTGAGCGTCACATTCCCACCACGTCCATGACCATGCATACTGTACATGTGACCTTGTTATGGCTTTCAGTGAAGCAATATTTCACATCTCTTAAGCCTTCTCAAGACATATGCTTTTGAAGAGTTCTGATATGTATTTTGAATATTCCAAATGCAGGACATTTAGTGAATTTTTGATATACGTATATGAATGATTTTTATTTCCACTGCCATGACAAAAGATCTGTGATCTTCTCTCCTCAGCAGATTGTATTGATGGTGAAAAATGAGCCACATTTCTGTTTATTCTTTGTATAATACTGCGATTGTTTTTTTGTGCTGTATTCCTCCAACACAGTGTAAAGTTTTATTGTTATATTATTACTGTTATCGCTGAGTTGACTGCTTAGAAACAAAATGCAGATTTCTTATGGAAGCCGATAGCCTTGAATCTATAGAATTTTTATGCTAAAAAAAGAGAATGTATAGACAATCCTGTCACAATCAGAAGCTACTCACAGCGCTGATCTCTAGTGGACATTTTCTGAAGAAATCCTGGTTTTAAAAATGTACAATTTTTAATCCTGTTTAAAACCTCCTTTAATTCACTTTTTTTTAAGTTTTATGTTTAAGTCGTGCAGATTGAAATGAGCAGCGTTCAACTGCACGTGTGTGTCAGGCCTTGAGGTGAAGCCTTCCACCGCATGACGGGCCGCATCACAAAAACACTCCTGACTGTCCGCACGTTAAAAACTAACTTCAAATGTCGATTAACAATCCTATAGTATTTCCCCATTACTACTTTTTTAAATGATACATATTTGTGCTTGCACTTTAGATTCTTTATCTTTGAAAGAAATATCACATTGCTGTAAAGCATTTTAAGTTTCTAGGTTACAGTATTGTACCTGGTTTTTATTATGAATCCTTTCATTCATATATTTACTGCAATAGGAATTGGAAATCAGTCATTTAAAGAAAGCTGTCCCTCGCCCATGTTTTCTTGTTATACTATAAAAAATGAGTTTGGTTAGTTGAAACACACTTTTAAAATCCACTGTTCTGCTTTATCTCAGTCTTGTGGACATTTTATAGCTTGGAATGATTCTTGTCAACATGCAAGACTTACAAAAACATGCCGATTTGACTAACTTACAATCGTTTTGCACCCTGGAATGGTCAAGTGTTAAATGTACTTCTAAGTAATGTGAACTTATAGTAGGTGGAAATTATATAATTCACTTTGTATGTATGAGGGAAATGATACTTCTTTTTTTTTTTTCCTTTTTTTTTCATTGGTGGGGAAATCCAATTTTGACTTAAAAGTGAAACAAGGAACTGATGATAAGACTTGACCCAGGATGAAATATAACGAGCCAACCCTCAGGCTGTTTTCTTTCTTTTTAACTGAAAGTTTCATTTGAAGGTCAACAGGATGATATTATATTTCATCAGCCAGCTGAATATCTACATTTCTACGTATTTATCGTCTACACTCAGAATAATCTCACATCGGGGCTGTATGAACAATCTGGGACCTTTTTTTTTCACACCTGTTTCACTTCCCTTTGTCCATGATACCTCCATGGAGGTGACCCTGTTTTTCTACTTGCTGTCAATGGAAAATGTAAACCTGCAAGAGGTAAATATGTATATTTATGCTACTGCTGCCTGCCTACCACAGTTTGTCCAGCAGTGAGCCTAAGACGAAAGACTTGTGTACTCTGACAGAGAGCGATAGTGTCTTTCCGATGGCTTAGTGTCCGTGGACCAAGAAACCGAACTCTCTGTTTTCTCTGTAGCTTTACTTCCTGTCTTTTTCTATACTCAACAGGTTTTATTTTATTAATGCATTTTGATGATGAAGAGTCATTACTGCAAGCTACTTTGAATTTGTCTGTTCAGGACTGCTATGATATAACTTGTTAATGTGACTCTTGGATCGAATTAAAAAAAAACAGTAACACACAGTTGTCTCTTTCACAGAATGATTGTTGATGTGTGTTTGGTTGTATGATTTAATGGTGAGGGAAAGTTGTTTGATTTGTGATTTGTGTGAACAGCAACCAAAATATCTTCCTCTTCTGCCAGCTTATTGCATAAATGTCTCCCTCTTGAGGTAGCATGATGTAAGTGCAGATTTAAGTGCTGAACGTATTCAGGCTTGGAGGTTGTTTTCTATTATTATTCTTAAAGATGAGTGGATTGTGCAGCTGATTTTGGTAAGACCCTGGCCGCAGTAATCCCTGACATCAATCTTAGAGTGGAAATGAATGTCATAAACTAAAAGTATGATTTATGACAAATATTTTGAAGTTGAGTTTATCACTACATTTAATGCACAGGCTTTCATTGAATGTTTATTTGAGCTCCCCCTTACCTAGATGGTGGTATTTTTGTCTTTTTTCAAAATTACCTATTTCTTGCGTTTTATTTGAGATTGTCTTGAACATGATAATTTAGAAGGGATGATTACTTGACCAGGCTGTCTTCAAATTTCCAATGAAAGACATCAACCACACTTTCAGAAATGAAGACACTGTAATCTGAACCTGTAATGAGCCTTGCATATTATTGTAGTCGAGCTGATCCACCTAAATCTGCTTTGACATACTTTATCCCAACAATTGGGAGATGGATTTTTATGATGAAAGACATAGCATATGGTACCAATACCATAGCCTGTAGCATTGGTGACTTTTCTTCTGGTGCAACCCAGCAGGTCAAAGATGTGATAGTTTATCTCAATATCTATATGTATTACTTCAATGTTCTAAAGTTCCCAGATATATTCTAATGACTTCACTTATCACGTGCATTTCCTTCTAGCTCCACATTGTCTATAGACTCATTGGATGGATTTCCACAACAGGTACAGGTAGGCTACATGCTTTTTTTCTGTCCATCATAAATTAATTTATTTTGTGTCATATCTCTTGCAGCAAGCATGGTCATTTAAAAAAGGTGATGATGAAGGTCAAGGTTTACTTCGAAAACCTACTCAAAATAACAAACTGAATTGTAAATTAAAGTCCCAATTCAAGTTATCGGATTGGCCATCATAGTGTCTAAGAACTTAAATACTTTGAATACTCGTATCTGCTGCATGTTCTGTTCCGTTTTAAAAGTGCAGTCCTATTTGTTCATTTACACTGACTTAAAAATTGCAACAATACTCATTTTACAACATGGAATAGATTAGCCTATTCACCTCAGCTTTGTGTTTGGTGAAAATAGGCAAATGTTAGACTGCTAACTCGCTAATAAGCGGTAAATCTTGAGTGTTATAATGCCTGTATATCACAACTGCTAAAGCAACATGATGGCATTGTTATTGTCAAACTTTGTAAAGCCACTCAGTTGTTAGCTTAAGGAGACTAGTCAGTTAGCTGAAAGTGACATCTCTTTGAGGAATCAGCTTATGCTTCTATTTTTTCCATGACACTTGAAATAAACTGCATGTGATGTTTTCTTATTAACTCCACAGTGAATGTTTTAAATAAGCACTTGCTAATTTAATGTTTAACTCCTCTCTTGCAGAACTTATTATGCATCATTTCTAACTTAATGAGACTCCCCGCTGTGTTGCTCAGCAGGTGAAGTGGTAGTTTCTGTCTGGGGGGAAAAGTTTTAATTGTCTGGAATCAGTGGTTAAGGTCATGACTCAATAGACGAAGAATTTGTCCTCATTCTTCTTTTGTGTTTTTTTTTTGTCTTCCTGCAGACAGCACTCAGACAAAGAAAGTCAGGTGGAAAGAAGATGTGGTTGATCTGATTTTCAAGTACATTTTCTTAATTTCAAGATTCCAATCACACAGCTTAACAGTTAACAGGAAATAACAGATTTTCCTTTTCAATGGCTCTTTTTTCAGGAAGGGAGTAAAAGTAGTAGCAAGCAAGCCAGTCTGTTTTGAGAACAGAAGATTCTGAAAAGCCCATGATCATCAGTGTTTCCCCTACCATTAGCCCCCCCCCCCTTGAAGGTCATATTATTATTATTATTATTATTTATTTTTTTTAGCTTTATTTTTGGGCTTTTTGTGCCTTTACTGTAGAGATATGATAGGAGATAGAGTCAGAAATCAGGGGAAGAAGTCATTTAAGGATACCTTTCCGATAGAACAGGACAGCTGTCATTAAAAGTAACGCATGAACACCAAGATTCCTTCAAATGTTTGTGTCGCCGTCCGTCTGCCCGCACCCCCTCCCCCCTAAAGCTGTAAACCTAGGGGAAACACTGATAACGTTATTTGTGTTGTATCATTTTAAAAATCCGCTTTTTCTTTTTTTCCTTGATTTCTCTCCCATTCCAGCCCTCAGCCCTCTCCTATCCCGCTTCCGCCTTTACCTCAACTGTTTTTTGCTCTTTCCCCCCTCCATCTCCTCTTTGACCTCCCTCTCTGCGGGTCTCAGCTGTTGCATTTATGAAAACAAGACACTCGATTATGTTCACCTCACCATTGTCAAAGCTCCTTCGGAAACCTCATACATCCAGCGTTGCTTAAATCGACCCAACAATTTCTGATATAAGGCCTGAGGCTTGATGGATGATTGCACTTTAAAAGTGTGTGTGCTGAGGTGAGGGCGGTGTTGGTGTTAGGGATTAGTGGCCAATTGATCACTATGATGGGCTTGCAAAAATAACGGGCTGTCATTCCAGATGTAACGATCATAAATCTGTCCGTGGGGACCGGGCTGATTGTGTAATTTGATGCCTCAGTCTGTTTTGGTTGAGTTTGAAATGGGTGAGGTTTTTGTGCCAGAGCTGATTGTATTAATGCCTGTCAGACATTACAGGTAATGAGATTTCTGCTTATTGACAGGATGGGTGCAGTTGCTGGGTGGGTCTTTAGGGTCTATTTAAGGATGCAGCAAGAAGAGAGAAAAAAAAGGGCAACTGATTTCATTGAATTTTACAGAATATGTTGACGTTTTAACTCTGGAATTACAGCCCCTTGAGGTCTTTTATCTTATTTTCTCAGCTGATCATGTTCCACAACAATATACAGTATCTACTAAACTTCAGTATACTATTCACTTCAGACATTTCTCTTTGTGCTTTTGTCCCTTCACAGATTTGTATTTGACGGAACTGGATAGAAAACTTTGATTTTACTTACACCCATGAACCAAAGGGGACTAAAAACTGAACCAGCTTCAAGTGTTTCTATGTTTTCAGAACACCATGTATATCTTATGCAAACAACAATCAAAAGGTCCTGATGAAGCATATTTTAAATGTCAGAAATGAAGAGGTTGTCTTTCATTCTTTGTGAAAATTCTTGTATTTGCATTGAAAAAAAATGCATCATGTCAGATCAAGTCCACATGGGGCTAAATGTTTTTTCATCCACTGATCCATTCTTCATTTTTCTTCTGCTCATCTGAGGCTGGGTCCCAGTGGTAGCAGGCTAAGCCATGGACGGTGTAAAACATGGACCTTGTCTCAGTGACATCACCTATTGGTTTTGAAGCACACTGATGGCCGTGGCCATATTGGAAATGCTATCTCAACCTATTATTTGGTTAACTACAGTAAGAGGCAAAGCATTCAAGCTGAGGCGGGCCTTCAGCCTCCGGGCAAACGGCTACAAAACGTCCACTTGCAGTCAGACCAGTTATGCAACTTATCATGCATAACTTTTATCATTCATAAACTGATATTTCTTTACAAAACATTTTATTGCTGCTGTCCAATGTGCAAGTTAACAAAAGAGACAAGACATCTGGGTCTTCTGGAGCCAGTCTCAAGCGATCACCCAACTGCAGTATTTGCAGATTTTGTAATTTTTTACCGTCATTTGTCAACACCAGAGGATGCCCCTTGGCCAAGATGACCCTCTTTCTGGCATTGTTTTCTGGCTTCTCCAAGGGAAAGCAAGGCATCCCCAGGTCAGAGGGATTTATAATTCCTATAGCTGCTTCTGGGTCCATCTCTGGGTCCCCTCTAAATGTGCCCAAGAGAACTTCCAAAGGGAGACAGCCATCAGATACCCAACCCTTTCAACTGCCTTTTTTTTTTATTTAGAAAGATTAGCAGATCTGCTTGAAGCTTCCTCCCGAGGTCTGAGCTCCACAACATATAAAAGGAAAAGTATTTTGGCCACTTGTGTCTGTGATCTCACTCTTTTGCAATTACCATGCTTTCCTTCATTAGCACAGGTGAGGGCTTGAAAGTAGATGGACTGATTCATCAAAAGCTTTGCCTTCCAGGTCACCACTTCTTCACAGTTATGGCTCAGCCAACATAGCCTAACAATGTCCAGAACCTTCAGCATCTCAAGGAGAATCTCATCCATGCCTGGCACCTAGGCAGTGATGAGCTTTAGGACAAACTCAACAACCTCTACAAAAGATATATAGTCTTTCCCTCTTCAAATCCCAACTCCCCATCACGGGATGTGATGGCGGTGTTGACTAGTTCCTGAGTGTTTTCTGTCCATCCCTAGTCGACAAAGAATGTGCCATCACTAGTTTTCCTTCCCTGCTGAATACAGCCTTGGAGAAGCCTTGCTTTCTACTCCTGATTTGACAAACAGTTTGCCAGAAATACCTTGAGGCCAAATAAAAGTCCTTCTCCATAACTTACCCAAATTCCTTCTAAATCCAGGAAATTACTTTCAAGACTATCCAAGCCACAGCCCTCCTGTTCACCCAGTACATGTCTGCTACTTCCAGAGACCACTTTGCTACAGAAACCCCCCAAAGGTCTTTCTTTAGCCTGAAAGCTTCCTTCTCTCAATTAATAGGTTCATAGGTTGCGGCCAAAAGACAAACTCCTACCAGATGCTTCTACAATGGGGGTTTTGAATACGGCTCACTTAGATTCCCTTGGCAAAGATAATAAATTGTCACGTCTGTGATTGAAAGCTGCGACCGAAATATAACCTCTAGTACCATTATTCCAATCAGACCATCTGTTGCTTCAGGATTTGATGACATACCGCCGTCTTCGGTTGCATCATGTCCTTGCTCGTCTGAAGGTGGTTCACATTGTGTATGTGCTCCTTCATGTGTTTCTATGTGTGTGTCTCAAACCAGTTCATCCTCACTATAGATCAGGTTTTACCTGATTTGTTAAGCTTCTCATGCTATCATACCTAACCACTTGGTGGTGGTACGTTTCCAGCTATGCTCCTTTCTTTACATTAGGGTCCAGGACATATGGTTGCATATTTTAAAAATGTAACAATAGAGATGGTCATCAACCTTTGGCCAACAGTATGCTGAACCCAGGTACACATACGAATCACCTTGTGCTCAAACATGATGTTTCTTATGGCAAATCAGTCATAGCCTTCTTGTCCAGGACTTGCCTAGAGCAACCCCCATTTCCCTTTGTGTACCCACACCCTCCTACCTCCTGTTACCTGGTATGCCTCTGGGAAATGGCAAAAGTCCATCCTTTTTCAAGGAATTTGGAATTTCTTGGTGGCATTTCACATTCTTAGGACCAAACTGCCATGCTTGGGATCAGCATGCTAAGGCAGCTGCCTTCGACTGCTGTCAGGCTTACACTATATTTGACCTCCTTGCATATCCATGTAGGTGGGCCCAAAAAGCAGCAGTTTCACAAAGTTATTTCCTGGTCAAAAGATGCTTGTCAGAGAGCTTTCCACCCTTAGAGTGATATATTTTCTAACATGTTTTTTTTTGTTGTACCAAATTCCAGTAACTGACTAATCAGTAATAAATCACCCAATTTCATTTTTATCTAGAAAATCTAGTTTATCAAATCTTTGCATAAGGACAACATTGGTCGTTAAAGCTTATATTAAAACAGTGCATCAAGCAAGGGGTGTATACTACAGGATAATATTACAAAGGAAATATCTGGTACATTTTAACAGTGAAAGCCTTTCAGTGGTCCTTCTGTTTTGAACATGAATAAACAATCTAATAAAGAGAACATAATCCTACAGGTATTTCCATGCCTACCTATAATGTCCTGTAAACAAAATCTATAACGTGCTTACATCACATTACAACATACATTGCTGCTGAAGGGGATGACAGGACATTTAAAAATATTAAACTGGTAAGCAATCTCATTGTATCTGTTTTTAGGTTGACATAATTCAATTATTTGTTTAATCAAGAGGTTTAAATTTGCATTTAAAGAAAAGTCATCAGGAAAACAGGTGAGATAAAATGCAATGATGGGAGAGAGGAGGAGGAACAGAAGAAGCTTGGATTGGGAGGGAGGGAGGGAGGGAGGGAGGAGAGTGACGGTGATGGGGGGTGCTGTTGATTGTTTTTCATACAAGAGTGGTATCGCGGACAGATCTCTATACCAGACCACAGGGTACTCTGGGAGCCTGGAGCCTAAGAGGGTGGGAGAGCCAGCTATAACTCATCACACTTTACCAGATCCTGTCATCTTTTTTTTTTGACCTCACCTGCATCTCTTAATCTTTTTATCCTTTCTGTATCTCTTAACATATTTGCTCAAATCTCGGTCTGACTAACTTCTTAAGGACATTCTGCATAAACATGCTCAGCAAAAATTTGCAAAGCTCTGAAGAACATCATCACAACTGGAATTAAATTGTCCAAAGTGATAACTGGAGGAGATTTCACCCGGCGTTCCCAAAAAGTGAGTATTTTGTTCAGAAAATTTTATTTTCTCTCTTAAAATTTTCCACTTTGTTCTGATATGTTCTTAAACAGCATATTGGCTTAACCTTTAATGTTGTTTTTTGTCTTGTGGTGTTTGGAATTATTCCAAATACATTGTGAAATTTGGCAACGTATAAGCATTTTTTCTATGTTAAATGCTGATATTATGAGCTGGTGAGATTGTGTTGTTTTAAATTTTGTAAATTTCCCACAAGGTCCATAGAAGAGCAGGTTGATATTCAGGTCAAAACAAATTAAAGACTAATTCAAAAGACCGTTAAATGTTAATAAGAAAAAAAGGGAATATTTTAATTTGCTGAACTTGAAGATAAATCTTTTATACAGATACAGATCATTTATTATTATGAAGAAATAATCTGGGCCTTCAGCTTATTTCTTCACTTGCTACAGTTACTGCCAAACACAGTTTAAGCAAAGACTTCTCAAACCAAAAATGTGATTTAGGTTATCCGAACAGCTTGTTGTGGTAAGAGAGGGTTGGTAGACACTGGGCCAAATCTGTGAGCAAAATGGCGATCAACAAGTGTGAAATGAAATGAGCATGCTGTGATGGCCATTTAGACCCGCTCCCCACCCCCCCTGGTTTTCCTCAGCCTGGATCCCATTACTCAGGGTCCTTTTTCTCCACCCTCCTTTTGCTGTTTTTTGGATATCAATACAACAACTTAACATGTCAACCAACTGTGTGATACAACTCTTACAAATGTGACTTTTATTAGCAGTATTTTATACTTTTAAGTTTCTAATACGTTGTCTTTTTATGGACTGTTTTTTCTTTCTTTGTGTTGTACCCCAAAAAGTCTGGTTATTTTTACATTTACATAACAGTTTCCCCAAAAAGGTACGGCACAAGTGTCATTTTTATGATTTATTTGAACTCAGCATTCTTCAGCGGCGCCTAACCTCCCTCCTCTCCAACAACCGCTGCCGTTTAGCTCCAGACGGCTGTGCACCACTTCATGCTTACAGAGAAAAGCCCCTGTCGGCCTGATGTCTTCAGTTGTAGCCCCAGAAAAACCCACCTCCAACACCATGGGCCCCAAAGAGGTCAGTGCAGTTCTGACACAGTTGTAGTTGGGTTAATTATATGCCATTCATTTTTTATGTCGAAAACCTAATTGCATCACTGCATGGTGCAAGGCTCTTAATGAAATGCATTTCTCTCTGAAATGGTCTGTCCAACTCAATTTATACCCAAAGAGCTTGGCTGACAAAAAGAGCTGCCAATTTTCTGAAAACAAAAATATCTTGTATAATAAGTATACACAGTGAACTAAATAATGAAGAAAAACATAAAGACTGGTGCTTTAAGCATAAAAGGAATAAAGTTCATTGTTACTGGCTTGCAAGTGTGATAAGTGAGAGAGAAGATGACATGAGGTTAACACTTTGGGAACTGAAAAAAAATGTCCTTGTGCTCAGTAATTAAAACAAATATACTCTACATGCTTGTTATGGTGATCTAGGCACTTTACTTGTATTACACCTTAGCTGCCTTTTGTAACATCTACCTATGTGTGTAAGATTTTAAAGACATGGTAAACAGGGTGAGTTTATGTGGTTAATATTCTAATCTACCAGTAATCATAACATTTTAACTGTAATTTACCTTATCATGATTGAAAAACCAATTGCACCTGATTATGTAATAACCCTACGACTTCTAACCCTTTAGGTGGAGCTGATCTTGGTGAAGGAGCAGAATGGGGTTCAGTTCACCTCGACCACCTTGGTGGCTCCCACTCCCACTCAGACGGAACCCAGTGGGGAGGAAGAACGGGAGACCTGGGGGAAGAAAATTGACTTCCTCCTGTCCGTGATCGGTTTTGCTGTAGACCTGGCCAATGTCTGGAGATTCCCATACCTCTGCTACAAGAATGGAGGAGGTGAGGAAGCGCATGTCAGTCTTAGTCTATAAGGAGTCTCAAACTGGGAACTTGGTTAGAAAAACATGTAAGTACGTGTAAGAAGAAGAAATGAGAAAGAATGGAATAAGAGAGTGAAGAAAGCAATAATGAGAGAGGGATAGAGAGAGGGGGAAAGTGGGGTTTTACAGTAAGTGAGTAAATAAGATCTTCCTCTGAGACTAGTGCAGGACAGATATAAAGACTTGACTTTGCAGTTTCTGTGCATGGTTGTGTTAAAAGAAAAAAGTTGTGGCGAATCACAGTAAATTACTTATAGGAGAGGAAAAGGTGAGATAAAATTTGAATTAATGGACGCTGTATATTATGCACGCATACATTTGCATGCATGGGTTATTTTGCACATGTATGCAGATGTGATTGGTATAATGTGCGTGCATTTGTGCTGTATTTGGGGTGTTACAGCTTTGTATTCCCTGGGTTGTTGTTTGAGATTTTTTTTAGCTCTTCACAGAGATCAAAATAGGGGAAAAACCACCACAGCTGCACCGAATAGATTAGCACCAACAATCACTGCCACTAATTATGGCTGTTTAACATAGAGCTTTCATTATGTTTCAGAGCTGTCAATGATACTAGCCATAGTCAAGGCTTGTCATGTGTCACTGAATCCAGTATGTTTCCGTACCTGAATTGACATAAAATAGTATTAGCGCTTTAATTTACAGAACCCTAAATTAAATAATTTTTGTTTTGCCATGATTTGCAGGATTAATGCTTTTATTTGATCACATACCAAAGAGAGTAGAGATCAAATGTAGCAGATAAAAAAAACACATGTAATAAAGTTATTAACCAGCTGCAAACCAGGAACTTTGTAATAAGTTGGCAGTATCTTACCCCACCAAGATCAACCCAACCAAAACCATTCATGTGAGCGTTGTTAGTCACACATGTTTTCCGCCTATACTTGTATCATGTGTTGGTTTGAGGTTCCTATTCCTCAATGAACTTTGCATAGCTTTTAAAAGCCACCCTGTAAAGAAAAAAAGCACCTTTTAAAGTTTTAAAGTCTGTGATGAACTGTTGATCGTTGACAGCTGACATCCCTCTGCTTGGCATCTCGCCTCTGTGGGCTTTCGCCTTCAACCATGGCATGTAATTATTTGCCTGATGTGTCAAGAAAAAAAATAAAATCAAGGATGAGGTGCCAGTTGAATGACAAGGAATGCTGTCCTTTACTCAGTCACTCATTTGTTATATGTTTTGAATCATATGACTATATTATTTTTGAATTTAACCTGTGTCTGTGTGTGCAGGTGCATTCCTGGTGCCATACTTGTTCTTCATGGTGATAGCTGGCATGCCTCTCTTCTACATGGAGCTGGCTCTGGGACAGTATAACAGGGAAGGGGCAGCAGGGGTCTGGAAAATCTGCCCCATATTTAAAGGTAGGACATGACACTCTCTATGCCACACAAGTTGATATACAGATAGACAACTGCCCATATTAAAGAATGTACTTGTACTTAAAATATCAATCTATCATGCCGTGGCAGCATGAGTTTCATTCTGTCCCTTTGTCCGTCTGCCTACGTGCCTGTCTATCTTTCTGATAGTAAACTTCCTTTAATATGTACATGTCTCTCTGTCTACTTGTCTGCCCACATGCCTGTCTGTCCACATGCCAGTCTCTTTTGTCCTCTTGTCTCTGCTCTGAGAAGCGACAGGTGTTATTTATCCTCCGCACAACATCAGGTTGTGCTGGCACTCAGATGGAAAGCAAATGAAAATTGGGCTTTTAGACTCCTGTCCTGATTGTCCAAATTCTTCTGTCAAACAGTGCCGTGGAACACCGGCTGACACTCTTCAGGGGTACTTTTCAACACATCGATAAACAAGGCGCAGTTTAGGAAGATGACATCCAAACTAATTGAGAAGCAGACATTGGAACAATATAGTTTCCCAACACAAAAACACTTTGTTTGCTTTAACTTGTCATGCCTTTCACACAGTTGCTATGTTAGTCAAATTTATATCAATTTGTTGAAGAATTTCCAGGTTATAGTTTCACTTAAATCCACGCCTGCGATTAAAAGCTGCGACAGAAATATAACCTCTAGTACCATTATTCCAATCAGACCATCTGTTGCTTCAGGATTTGATGACATACCGCCGTCTTCGGTTGCATCATGTCCTTGCTCGTCTGAAGGTGGTTCACATTGTGTATGTGCTCCTTCATGTGTTTCTATGGTGTGTGCCTCAAAGTGTTAGCCTCCTGTGTGTGCACATTAGCCGTCTGTTAGGGACCACACTGGGTAGGTTGACGTGCTAATCACACGCTTCACTCTCTCCCTGTCTCTCAGTGGGGGGATAACTGTAATTATTCAAATACACACATACACATGCACATATTGACAGTAATTATTCTGATCAACAAGCTGGTTTCCTCTAAGGATCAATGCATTCAAAGAAAATGACAGGGAAAGGGAGAGATGGAGAGATAACATGGCCGCATGTGGCGCTAACAAAAGGCATCGCTGCCCGTACAAATATCACATCCACATTACAAAGGGATCAATAAGGCTCAATTGTGGTCATGCCTCTTAGCAAAGGTTAACACTTAAATTCAACCTTAGAAGAGTGGTCAGGGTTTCAGATTTACAGAAAGGGCAGATGGGTTGATAATAAAGAGGCATGAAGAGGCGATCTATAAGAGTTGTAATGCTTTCAAAGGCTTCTGTGCTCAAACTGTGTGAGAGGTCTGGTATTCTGGTGGTGGAATCTCACCATACATTACACTGATGCCTACGTTCTCTTGTTTTATTCCTGCTGGACTTGAGTGCAGCTTTTGACACTGTGGAATCATTCCATCATTCTGCAGAATCTTGAAATCCTGTGTTGGTTTCAAAGAGTCAACTCTTTAGTTATTATACTCCTATAAACGTTTCTGCTGTTGCTGAAATCCCCTATCTTCTGTCTTCCCTTCCACCTAAATGCTTTCTTCAAGGATCATTTTGGGTCCATTGCTTTTCTCAATGATACGTCAGCTTGGTGAAGCCACTCATAATCCTAATACAAAATTATTCCATGACTTTTGAGGCATATAAGTAAGAGAAAAGATAACATTTGATTCTTAATGCATGTGCAACGGGTGAAATGCACCTCTCATTATGCTGCAGCCCAAGTAGAAGCCTGGTGCTCTGGTGCGGTTTGAAAATACTTAAATCAGTGATGGCGTAGTGGGATGTTTGATTCAACTGCGGTGTCCCCTTTTCTGTCTTTGAATGTCTATAAACATCAACCATTGTCTCTGATCAACAGGTGTAGGCTTCACAGTGATCCTCATTTCCCTCTACGTTGGTTTTTACTATAACGTCATCATCTCCTGGGCAATGTTCTACCTTTTCTCGTCTTTCACTGGCGAGCTACCTTGGGTCCACTGCAACAACACCTGGAACAGTCCAAACTGCTCCGAATGGGCTGAGAACGGCTCAGTCAGTGACATTTACAAGGCCACCCCTGCGCAGGAGTTCTTTGAGTAAGTCAGCCGGAAGCACTGCTCTGCCATTTATTTGTCACCAAACGTTTAATCAATGCCATAGATGTATAGTCAGTTTAAAGCCCTTCTAGGATTGTTAACATACTTGGGTATGTAGAGGTCAGACTTACATGGTTAAATATTGAAGCTAAGTCAAACTGTCTTTAATTATATTATTATCAGTGTAGTCATTTTACTGATTATTTCATCTGTTTTCGATGGCTTTAAACTGCAATATTCTTTTCCAAAATTAAGTGACGCTACTTTCTGGCTAATGTGTTCATGTTAGATTGTATTTTGTCACATTTAAAGTCTTTAAACCAACAGTAAATGTGGAAATTTCCAAACATATCAAGTCAAAGGAAACACATTTGATATGTATACCTACTCACAAGTGTTTCTTGCTTTGGCTTAGCTAAGATTTCTCTGAGCTGCGTACATACCAACCACACTTTTCAAGAAAAAAGAATTTCAAAAGTGAAAATGACGCAATGTATCCATATCAAATAATAGCAGTAGATTTGTTGTTCACGTCAGAGTTTGGCTGCATTTAGCTCATGTAACACACTTTCCTGTGAAGCCGAGTAGGTGTCTCCTTTTTCAAACATGTATGGTGTGTTGTGACAGTTGAGACATGTCAACCACACAGCTGAATAGGCAGTGTGCTATTTACATAGAACCACCTGCAGACAATTTGACCACATCAGTTGAACGTTGGCTTATCATACTCAGTCTCATCTGCTTGACTGTGTATGAAACCATCTGACTCAAAGTGTGATCATTCCATTTAGCATCACTATCTTTGCAGATCATTGTTATTTGATACGTTATATGAGTGCATTTTAACTTAACCTAAAGTAACATTTTGCAGCAATTGCAACAGATGTCAGAACCTCTTCTGTTGCCAGATTACCTCAGGCGTCTTACATGTCCGCTGACATAGATGAAGCCCAGGTACTTTGCTTCCAACAAAGACAGGTGTTGTTGTAAAACCATTAAGCTCAAGACCAAAATCTATTAATATAGTTCAACTGTTGGAGTGAATAATAATGATGTTTATGAAGGTTGCAGTACTGTCTGTATTTGGATTGTCATTCTCAGAACTTTGCCATATACACCCTGAAAGCGCCAGTGGCACATCAGGGATAAGAAAGGTGCTGCCAGGTTATTAGTGAACCTTTGCCTCTAGCCTGGTCTCTAAGTGCTTTTCCTCAGAACAGAATCTTGGTTCAAGTTTAGGACATGCCATGTACTTGCTTGCCATTGCACTTGCTAGGACATAAAGAATAACTTCAATAGTTTTCTAGGTAAACTGCCTTTTCAGACACCACATGGGGTCAAAGAATCCACCCTGAACTCTTGTTTGTGTTTTAAAGACATCAGATGTGTCATGTATTTCAGTTATATACTGTATATAAAGGTTTAGAAAATAAGAATGCAGCTAATTTACTCATTTACATCTGACATTAAATTTTTATTTATTTCTTTTTAACTATATTCCAACCTCTTTACAATAACATTAGGAAGAGAAAGACATGGCATCATTTATCATTTATCTCATATATCTTTATATATATATATATATATATATATATATATATATATACTGAAATATCTGTAGCTATGGTACTTACATTGTTAGGCAATCTTCTACTTGTGGGATTAGCTTTATCAACAGCAAAGGCAATCAGAAGATTATGTTTTAGGCTAGATCTTTGGAGCTTGGGATAGTGCTTACAATTTTCTGGAACTTTCCCTTCACTCTATGCCTCTATTAAGTAAGGTCTTCTCTAGGTGAGGTGCCAAATACAAGACATTATGCCACTGTTAACAGTCCCTTCGCTGTGATCACAGTTCTGACCAGAATATTCCTTTCCTCTAGACGAGGTGTGCTTCACATCCAGGACAGTAACGGTATTGACGATCTGGGCCGTCCACGTTGGCAATTGACTGCATGTCTGGCTGTAGTGATTGTTCTGCTCTACTTCAGTCTCTGGAAGGGGGTCAAGACCTCTGGAAAGGTAGGAAGTGACTAAGTAGCTTCATTTCTGAATGTGAAAAGCAAAATAATACTGCAATTCCTGTAGTTTCTTTTAGTGAGAATCTTTGAAGTTAAGTATTACGTTTGAGGAAATATGGTATAAGATTATGCTGCTTACTTCAAGATAACAGTTTGTGTACAATATAGATTTTTGTAAATGCATGTATATTTGTTAAGCTTCCTCTCTGTATATTGGGTATCTGTATCTGTGTGGCTAATCCGTTTGTGTTTATCTGCATGTGTGCGTGCCTTGTGTGGCCCTTTCAGGTTGTATGGATCACAGCCACTATGCCCTATGTGGTCCTGACTGTGCTGCTGCTCCGGGGAGTCACTCTGCCTGGAGCCATCGATGGCATTAAAGCCTACCTCTCTGTGGACTTCTTGAGACTCTGTGATGCCAAGGTGAGTGTGTGATGAGAGAGGGTATCAAGCTGAGCGTGCAGAGGGGGTACAAGAGAGGAAGAAAGTAAAAAAAAAGGCTTGACATTTTTAGTTTTATGTTGTTGTTTTGTTTTTTTATCAGAGTGGAGGTGCTTTAAAGTCTTGACTTGTTTCTTACAACATATTTGGTCAACTATCATTCTCAAGCCTTAAGCTAGACTTAATCAATGGATCATGGTACATGGTAAGTTTTATCATTGCCTGTGCTTGTGCAATACCAGTAACAACAGCAACAAATAAAGTTTAAAAAGACAACTAAAAGTCAGTATCCACAGAAGCGCATGGTTTATCTTGCAATGTTTTCTAGAACGCATGAACACTAGAGCTGCATTTGAAACCCACAGCTCTAAGCATGTAAGTGAAATTCTGCAGTCCTGCATTTTTTTTTTTTTTATTGCCAAGACTGCACAACAGTTACATTGTAAAAGCACCCTGTATAAAGAGATTGAGCAGAATTTAACTAAAATTTTGAGAATTGGAAGGATAGGATTATCAAATGTATGCTCTAGTGACACACAGCAAAACAAATTATTGTACACACCACACAACAAATTGCCTGACTTTATCATTTATATTTTTATTATTCTTTTAGAATTGAGTTACAAAAGCCCTGATGAGCAACGTTTCCTGTAAACGTCACAACAAATGAGTTAATGCATTAATAATCTGAGAATAACCACCACTCTCCTGAAATTTGATGCTGTTGATTTGTATTTGTTTTGTGTTGCTGCAACACCCACATTTCTTTTCTTATCTTTGACCCTGTGGGAAAAAATATTCCAAATATTTCAATGTTAAATACTGTTGAGTGGCATTTCAACAGGACATTTAGTTTGTGTTCAACTGTTGTAATATGTCCCTCTCTGTGAAACCTGCTTTCAAATCAAACTATATCTTATTTACCTGAATAGACACTGAGGAGCTCAATAAGTAAGCATGCAGGACTAAAGGACGCAGTTATGGAGAATGAGATAGAACGCGAGAGGGAGAGGGATAGAGAGATGCACGGCAGCAATCAGAGAATTAGATTAGGTAGATGCATGGAGCAGTAATTTGCAAAATTACCCCCCGTATTCACTAGCGTCTTTCATCTACTGCTGTTGAATGAGTTTCCTGCAATTATCCCTAATAATGGCTTTTTTCCTCTCCTGTGCCTTTTGTTTGCCGCTTCACACAAGTGTGCTTGTTCTGTCGCTCCTCAGGTCTGGATTGAGGCAGCAACACAGATCTGTTTCTCTCTGGGAGTGGGGTTTGGTGTGCTAATTGCCTTTTCCAGCTACAACAAATTCAGCAACAACTGCTACAGGTAATGACACACAGGGAGAGGCAGAAGGAGATTTAAAGATGGCGACAGGACTGGGAGTAGCTCCCCCCCCCCCCCCTCACACACACACACACACACACACACACACACACACAAAAACGCAGGCACACAATATAAGCAGTTGAATTACAATAACCTTTGACTCTCCTTGAAACTGCTATGTCTTGTACACCTTGCTGTGCAACTGTCAGCCTTAAGACCAATCAAAACTGTTGTGCTCTTTGAAATCAACCGCACCCTGCCAGAGGCTTTCATCCCCCCTTTTTTTTCCTTTTTGAACATTTCTGATTAAGTGACATCGCCCACCTTGAGGATTCTTCTTTGAACATAACAAAAATGCTTAAACTACATAATTCAGCATTATGTCAAAAAATTTCTGACTTTGATGTGTCGTTTGTAAGAAATCTGTATGATATTGTGCGTGTGATAATTTATTCCCCTTTATTCCTCTAATGTATTCTTTCAAACACCAAGGTTCAATCAATCAATCAATTTTTATTCGTATAGTGTCAACTGTCAGCAGTTCACTGTACAAAGATAATTTTCTCGAACATTCCTGTTTAAAAAAAACTCCCTTTTGCACTATTTAAGACGAGAAAAATATGAAGTCAGGCTGTGCAATATGTCACATTGAAGGCAGCGAGCAGCGTTGAACTGCTAGTCTAACAACGATGAATTTAAATGTATTTTAAATATGAAAATTAACAAATGAATGAGGATTAAATATGTAAAATAAATCATTTTTTAAATCTAGTCTGATGTGATAGTTCTGATGTGAACTATCACATCATACTAGCTAGTCTCACCACAGAGAAGCATTGACCACCTGACTAATCTATAAAATCTATTAAGGCTCTCTAAACTATGGTGCTGCCAAAATCCTTATAGGGCGAGTTAGCATTCTTTTCACATCTAGGCCGAGAGGCGAAAGCCTTGGCCCGCCCTGTCGAACTCCTTAGTTGACAGGTTGGTCAATTGGCGGATCAATAATGTTGATACAGATCGTGTGATGGATGATAAACAATTGATAAACTTTTGATTTTCTTTAACCTTGTCATTCTTGGTTGTTGTTTCCTTTTTTGTTGTATTGATGCAGAGACGCCATCATTACCAGCTCAATCAACTCTTTGACCAGTTTCTTCTCCGGCTTTGTGGTCTTCTCCTTCTTGGGGTACATGTCCCACAAGCACAACGTGGCCTTGGACAAAGTTGCCATCGATGGTAAGCTATCAGTATTTGTCTGTATTTGAGTACTAGATGGCCTGGTGATTGCATCAATCACGCCTTATGTACAGAGGTTGTTGTTCAGTAGGTTGCCTGAGTTCAACTCCCACCCTCGGCACTGCCAAATTATTTAGTTTAAAGTTAGGAAGTAAGTTAAGACATAACACTCTTTTGGGGCACTGGTGGCGCAGTGTTTAGTGTGCACGCCCCATGTATGGAGGCTACAGTCTTCCAAGCGGGCGGCCCAGGTTCGAATACAGCCTTGTGCCTCCTTTTCCCGCATTTCATTCCCAACTCTCTCTCTCCCTGATTTCCAACTCTATCCACTGTCCTATCTCTCCATTAAAGGCACAAAAATACCAAAAATAAATCTTTAAAAAAATAAATAAAAAGAAGACACTTTTTGTTTCAGGAAGACCTCACATTTCCTCCAGAACCTTTACAGAAAGCAAATCATATTGCATTTGTGTATTTAGTTATGAGCCAGACCGTCAATTGTTGGTTCTCCTCACATAGTCACATACATTTGTTTTTTTCAGCACAAGAGTAACTAAACTCTTTGACAATATGATTATCTTGGCAACACAAAGCAAGGCTTTTTAAGTCACTACCTTTTTTATTTTGTGCTGTCTATCACTTTGTTTTTTTCTTGACTTTAGGTGCTGGTTTGGTGTTTGTTATTTATCCAGAAGCAATTGCAACCCTCCCTGGTTCATCCATTTGGGCGGTTATTTTCTTCATTATGCTGTTGACTCTGGGCATTGACAGTGCTGTGAGTTTGCACCCATACCCACACAGTAACACATCTACTTTATTCGTAGAATAATAAGCAGCGGCTTTTTTCAGACATCCATCTGGCAAATGAAGTGGACCAAATATTACACTAAAGTCAATGACTTTGTGTTCCATTCTAACTCTTGCGTCTTGTTTTGCAGATGGGTGGGATGGAATCGGTGATCACAGGGCTGTGTGACGAGTTTAAATGTCTCCACAAACACAGAGAGCTGTTCACCCTCTTCATTGTTGTCGGCACCTTCCTCATATCACTCTTCTGTGTGACAAATGTAAGTAGCATTCTATGTCGTCATTTGTAACTTATTGATCTTGTTTGTTTGGAAAAGTACAATTTCCCAGTTTTAATCCAGCGTTACTATGTTAAATGTTCATTTATCTGCCATTATTAAGTATTTGACTCTTCCTGCATTTTCCAACCAATTAAAAAGCTTTGTCGAAGCTAATGATCCAATCAAGTTCATCCCATTGTTATGTCCCGCCTTCTATCTTGTGATTGGTTATATCGCCTTCAATCTGGAAATATGTCACAGCATAACAGCTGGATACTCTTGAATTTCTGTTTCATGGGTACTTTAATATACATCTTTAGACATGTTTTTTCTCTTCTATTTTATTTTGGTGTAACACACTTTCTGAACATTATAGAATAACACAATAACAATAAATTCATTATATCTCTCCAGGGTGGAATGTACGTGTTCACCCTGCTGGAATATTATGCTGCAGGAACATCAATTCTCTTTGGAGTGCTTATTGAAGCTATTGGCATCGCATGGTTTTACGGTGAGACGGATCGACAGGTGAAAAGAGGAAATAGAAACAGATGATTCATATTTTCATGGTCAGCAAAGCTGATGCTATATTAAGGCTTTGATGAGAAATCTGTTGGCATAGGGGAGCTGTGACTCAGATGCACATATATCCATTAGATGTCAGGATACTGCAGCCAGTGGGTCTATCCCCAATAATGGTTTTTGCCTCTTCATCTCTGCGCATGTATTGTGAAGGTACAAGGATATACAGCCACTGTGTTCAGCTAGCAGTGCTGAGGCACCACATAAAGTAAATTGCTGCTAGGGAACAAGCTCTTCCCATGTGTCATTGACAGGAGTCAGCTGTCTAATAGCTAGGTTGAAGATTGTTGTGGGTGGCTAGAGGAGGCAACAACAAAGTCAATTTCTATCTCCAGATGTCCTAACACTACAAGAACTCAGTTTAACAGAGTTTTAAAATCATCTCAACAAAACTTTTTGTCTTATTGTTGTCGATGTTTCTTCTTAATTTGGTTTAAGGTTTTTAAAACACACCAAATCTTTTTATGTGATTCGTATGAAACAAACTTCTTCACAAACTGCTTATTCATGTATTTTCACCTATTGCACAGCACACTGACTCGGGAACAGACTTTTCATTGCGTGTCTTTTGAAACATCATCTGGAGGAAATTATTATACAATCAGTCTTAAGATCAGGGAAAATACTTGACCTGAACTTCTGTATTGAGTTTCTTGTATCATGTCTACTTAACCTGACTGTTAGAGGATCCATAAAGGGCTAAATACTAACCGGGCCTCAGGCAGTGGGGTCAGCACATTGCCCCACTTTGGTGGGTCTCGACCTTGGCAAGCCAGATAAATCAAGCCTAAGGCTTGAGCAGGCCTTTTTTCCCATCCTCATAACTGCTGACAGAAACCCTTGACCCCTGCCCACTGTGGTCTTTTCTTCTGATATCCACTACAAAGTACATGAAGCTGTGCTGGAAACCTGCTCGTCAGACTGGATATACCCCTCTGCAGAGAGAGAGAGATGCCTCCCAGGTAGAAAGGCATGTGAAAGAATTGTACAGCAAGATTTATGAGGAAAAGCAAGTAATGGGGAGGGAAAGCTTCTATCACAGTTAGCTCTCTAGATTGCGTTTAGTTACCACAAATCAATTCTCTTACTTAAGGAACCACACAGACAATAACTTAATACCTTGATAATGTTTCTAATACCTGATATTTTCAGAACAAGGACTGTACACCACACCTGATGTGAATCTAAAGAGCAGTACTATATATTTTTAAAATAATAATAGCATGAGCTGTGTTTAACTGTGTGGTTGGAGATGATTTGGAGGTTGAATGAACAACTTCCACTTGTACCAGGGGTGGACCGATTCAGCGATGACATCGAGGAGATGATTGGCCAGCGACCTGGGTGGTACTGGAGGCTTTGCTGGAAGTTTGTCAGCCCCTGCTTCCTTTTGGTGAGGCAATGCTCAGACTCATTATTCATAGGAGTCCTACCAAATCCATATTTAAAACACACAGAAATGTTGACTTTTACCACAATATACTGCTTCCAAAAGTTCAAGAGTTTATGGTTATCTAGTGGGCAAAAGTTGAACAGATCCGTCCAGATGTTGCTTGCTTATTGCCAGTTTGTCCACAAGTTTTCCTACAGGCCTCTTTTGTGTAGGATAAGATTCTTACCTTACTCAAAAGAGGAATCCAATTTATTGTTCTTACCGTAAGAACATGCAAACATAAATGTCCAGTATGAAATGAGATGCATTGCAAAGATCATTAAACTGATGAGCGGATGTTTTTTGTTAAGATTCAGAATTCTGAAATCAGCCTGATTCTTGTGTGCCTGTTGATGCTTTTGTGTTTGCTTAATATTTCCCTGGGAGGTTTAGAGGTGTGATTTAAGGTTATCTCAAACACATGGCTTAACATATCCAGAAATATTGAATACATAAAGTGTAGGGTTTTATTGATTCATAAACAGAAATCGTTCCTTTTATAACCTCTTACACTCTTGTGTCTAAAATATACGTTTAACCACTGGATTTGAATTGAAGATAAAACTGATGGTTCCTCAAGTCTTTTTCACTCCAATCATTTTCTTCCAGTTTATGGTGGTGGTGAGCTTTGCCACTTACAACCCCCTAAGCTACAGCTCCTATGTGTTCCCTCCATGGGCTAATGTGGCGGGATGGTGCGTGGCCATGTCCTCAATGGCCATGGTGCCTCTCTATGCCATCTACAAACTCTGCACACTGCCTGGAAAGTTTTGCGACGTAAGTGCATTTTCCACCATAAATATTCATCTTCCATCTTAACTTGGCTTTGTCTTATGCCGCCTCGAACTCTTAACGAAAGATTTCTAACTTTTCATGTGAACATTGCTCCTCTCACTGTCTCCTGAAACAGAGACTGGCATATGCTATCACCCCAGAAACAGAGCATCATTTGGTTGATAGTGGGGAGGTTCGGCAGTTCACAGTGAGTGCTGGATTATTGTTTTTTTCGAATAATCTGTTATTTGTTGATTTCCCAGGCTATGATTTATCTCACAAGCATGTCCCTTTTCCCCACAGCTGCGTCACTGGTTGGTGGTCTGAAAAATACAAGAGTAGAGTGAAAGAGAGAAAGAGAATGAGAGTATGGGCATTGGGTGGATGAGTGTGTGCACAGCAAAGGTCTGAAGAGATAAGAAGATGATTCGATCTCTATGTTGGTGGAGGTGGTTGAAGAGGTGTATAAGTGCCGACAAAACAAAAAAAAAACGTAAATTGTAGTGTTCTTTAATTTTAACAGTGGATGTGTGAAGCTGTGCATTGACCCTCTCCACCACCAACACAGGTGAATGGGATTTAATGAAACTGCAAATTCAGTCTTCAGACAACTTCTTCCAGGAATATGAAACTAGTTTATGGAATACTGTGCAAGATTAAAGATTATTAATCTGCACTAGTTACAATTTTGGAAATGTCCTACAATTGCGCAAATTCTTTAGAAGTAGGCAGTAAAAAGAGAGGACCAATTTTATCACTTTACATTGTGTCAAGTGCAAAGTAACACAAAATAAAATAAAACTCAAAGCTGCATGTTATTTCATTGAGACACAGTGAACAATATAGAGATTTAGCATTTTGTAAGTGTACATGGTTTGAATATATTGAGTTACACGCAGCATCAGGAAGAATTATTTTTAAAATGCTGGATCTTTTTTTTCAGTTTTTCATCAGCCAATCATCTTAAAGCAGTTAGTCGCTGTAGTATTTGTCTTGTAGGATCTTCACTCTTCTCTCCTTTTACTCAAAGGTCAAACATTTGATGAATGCTGCTGGTTTTTATGGATCCCAGTCCATGTCTGTGTGTTATTTGTAGTGTTTACCAATTGACTTGCTCTTCTTTAAGACTGTTATGACTCACCGAGTAAGGCAAACTTTGAGCTGAAGACTCAAACTTTAGTTTACATTGAAACAATCTAACAGAAGGAGTAATAATTACACAATCACAAAACGCTGTCTGTGTAAACTCCATTCAGCTTTCTCACTGAATGGAGGAAACAAAGATGTCTCATTGCTTACAAATCATTAGAATTGATGGGCTTCCTCTTAACATGTTCCAGCTTGCATTTGCATTAACATCTTCCCAGTAGTGCGGTTAAAGAGTGATCAAAAGTTAATTTGTTCGAAGTCCACCACATGGTAGAGCAGATTCTAAAAAAGTTCTTGAACTAGACTTGTCTGTAATCCGAATTAAAGAGATGGAAACAACTGCACCTAAGCACTATCAACATATGAAAACTACAGTTTTAATCATTTTAACATCCAAATAATAATCAGTGACACCTAAGACTGACATTATCTACCACACTGCTGATCCAATCAACCAAAGACAAAAAATAACTCATAAAATATCTTCTATTCCTTTCTCACCTGAGAATACATCGCCAAGGGAATTTCTTTCAAAAGACCAATTGATTGTTAACTTCATCATGCCAGAAACGGAGGCCAGAAGCTGCCAAAAAAATACATTACCAACTTAATAAAAAATAAACTAGTATGCAATGAATTGCACCAGAAGTAATATATAGAAAAAACAGGGGATTATTTTGATGATAGAATATTAAATACATTTATATTTTGACTTTGCTGTAAAAGAACAGACAACAACAACAGGTTACTGTTTTCAGCTGAAATTGTTATCGTGTAAACAGATCCTTAGTGAGATGGCAAAATACTGGGCTCAGCAGCTGGGACCAAACAGCTTCAAAATGTTACTGTTAAAGTTGTGAGGTCATCTACAGCTATTTACAAAAGTTTAGTTAAGTTCACATAGTTAAGTATAACAAAATTGGCAGGGGGAAGCACTTTTAGACAACCCAATTACCAAAAGGCAAAAGTTGACCCCACTAAATAGCATTCAACTAGAATAAAAGCATTTTAAATAAGACATATATAAAAGAATATGTAAAGGTAGAAATAGACAAAATCATACGTAAATAAATACATTATAAATTGGGGGATACGTTGCAAAAATCATGAATACAAAAAAATAAGTAACATTATATTATTATATGTATTGTTATATGTATTATGTGTAACAATACTCAGAAATAATGCAAAAAAATAATAGTATATTTTAAAAAAGTTGAATAAATTGCAGAAGCTAAAACATGAAGTAGGTAGAAAGGAATGTAATTTGATATCACATTTTATTCTACATTCATTTTAAATTCTGGATTTATGAATTTTTTTTCTTTTTTTGGCAGTTTCTGTCTTCCATAGCCAGGCCAATATTTATTCCCCGTTACAACAGGGTAGTGCCAATACACATTTATGTCTGCACAAAGATTCAGTTGGTGATTTGAAAGCTATGACTGTCACGTTATCAGAAAGCATAAAGCTTTAATTTTACTGTTTACAGAATCTTATTCAGAGTTTCATGACTGTTTAAAAAGCTGCTTTTTATGAACTGGAAATGAACAGTGTGTAATGTAATATATGAAGTCATTCCAATTATTTATGCGTAAAAGTTAATGTAATGTAGAGGGGCTCGTATCGTATTGTACTGTATGATACTGAATAACAAGACCAACAAGATTATATATATAAATATATGGATTATTGTTTTGTTACTGTGTGGTAGATATATACATTAGTTGTAACGATCTTGAGGAGAATTACACGGAAAATTCACATGAACCTTCTTCTCATGAAGTCTTTCTGTTTAATCAGAAACCATCAAACATTTCAAACTGGTCAGCAATGGCTTGTATTCACCTAGTGGTACATGTAACACACTAAAGGGTTAATTATGTCCCAAATTGTACGCCTGTGCTGCTGTACTGTGCCTTGTGGTGTTTCTGACTGTATGACTTTGTTTTGTACTGTCAATTAAAGTATGATTAATTAAATTAAGACTTGAAGATGTCCATCTGTGTCCTTTTTCTTTTTTCTATTTTGCTTTAAAAATGATAATTATACTGAGGTGGTGGTGGTTAGTGCACGCACCCCACGTATGGAGGCTTTAGTCCTCCAAGTGGGCGGCCCAGGTTCGAAACCAACCTGTGGTTCCTTTCCTGCATGTCATTCCCCACTCTCTCTCCCTGATTTCTGACTATTTCCATTGTCCTATCTCCACAATAAAGGCACAAAACACCCAAAATGAAAAAAGCTAAAAAATGTTGATTATACTTTTTATCCCTGCTGTCACTGATTTATTGTGTCCATGTCTGCCATGGCTAGACAGTTTCACACACGTCAGGAATTTAGCCAATTTGGCAAAATAACCATTTACTAGAGTTATAATATTTTTATAGAATTCACCTCCTAACAAATCATTCCATTGTTGCACTTATACTTTACCAAAGTTTGAGAATGCATGCTACAACAACATGTACATTTCCTTCCTCCTGTAGCAAAAGGGTCAGGGTCTCTCTAAAAACACTTAATGATCCATCCTAATGATTATTTCAATATTACAAATGAGAAATCTGTCATTCAGACTACAATCCATGCATTGCCTAATTTTATCCAAACAGAGGAAACACTAATATGGAAAACAGAACAAAGCCCTAATGCAATGACGAGAATCTATAACTGCTGTTGTCTCTTTAAAGATTGCTCTGCATGACCTGGAATATACACTTTTCATTACAGTAATCAGAGAGTCAAAACACACTGTCTGAGGGGCTTTCAGATTTATTGATGTGTTTTCATCAGTGGGTGACCCCCAGTATTATCTCTAAGTGAGATATTTCTTGTAAGATATACTCTTGTGACCTTTTATAAAAGGAATATTTATTTCAGGCAAGGCAGGCTAACCTCCTGTTGTGCATGTAGGTGTAGCATCCAATAATTATACTCTACTTCAGTAGTTTCTCTTTATGGCTCATCTATTGGACCCTTTATGGACAGAAAGACAAAAATAAATACTTTATGGATACAATGTGTCATCTTTGTCATGTCACTCTAATTCACCCCTGACCAAGCACAAAATCCATGCCCCATTTGTCCTTGTGTGACTAACATATGCTTACAATACCATACAACCAACAGCAGCTGAGTAGAGGGAATTATTACTTCAACAAATACAAACATTATTCATTTATTTATTTCATTGATTGTCACAATGAAGGTTTATTAAATATATATATTTACTTTGTTTTGGGTTAATAGAGATCAATAATCAACTCATTGAGTCTCTAATGTGGCACACTACAGCTTTAGTGGATGAGATCAGAAGTTCATTAGCATTAAGCCACATTAACTTAAGTGAAATACTGTTGTAGCAATAGAGACCTCAAGAAATATACAATGTTTTCCAACTCAATTGTACATTTGTGGCAGTACACCTGTTGATGTGACTCATGCCAACAGCAATCTGTTATTTACCTTTTAAGCTTCCTTAAAGAAGTGTGTTTATAGAGGCTGCCTTTCTTCCATTTGATGACACTGCTAAAGGACAGTGACAGATGGTAGCTGTGAGGCTTCCAATTCTTGTCAAACTACGACAATTTCAAAGCAATTTCGGCCATGTGAGGATAGGGTTTAAAAGGTGCAGTTAAGACATCCAATAAACAACACCAATTATGTGTAATTCCATGCCTTGCCAAGGACATTTAAACTGACAGGATATACACAGGGAGAGGTTGAGGGATAAAATACTTTCTTAATAAGAGGTGCCCTGCACTTTATGATATTGCCGTTGCCTTAAATTTGTGTCAAGAGGGTTTTCTGCAATTGTCAGCCAACCAGTACCATATTTCAAGGCCATATCCCAGCCCCCTTCCTTTTTTTTTAAATTTCTTACAGGAAACTCCGGTGGCTTTTTGGCCCTACAACTAAGGTACCAAATTTGCCAGATAGTCTTTGAACTAAGATACACACACACACACAATCCACAACTACATAAAATTTCAACCCCTCTGTCCCCACACCTTGGCAAGCCACAACCTCATTCAAAGAGCATGTGCACTGCTGCACTTTGTGCAAGCGGAAAGGTATGATGGAGCAAGATAGCTTAAAATGTCAGGACAGAGTTCCACACAAAAGCCTACATATTGAAGAAGAGCTTGACTGAATAATTCAGTCCTCAAGTCCTCTTTTTGCAACATTACAAAGGGAGTTCCTCAAGGTTCAGTGCTTGGACCAGAGTTGTTCACCATTTATATTAATGAGATTACCACTTCATTACACATGTGGGATCTCCATTTTTAGAAGAGGTCAAAATGCTCCAGCAACACTTGTAGTAAGAAGATCAACTTTATTAACAATTTAGACTGACGCGTTTCGGCTCGTGGCCTTCATCACGGTCATCCCATCTTTATGCAGATGATACTGTACTTAATAAATCTTCAAATACCATTCATGATGCAACTCTAAATCTGCAGCAAGCATTTAACCTCTCACAAAATAATCTGCACAAGTTGAAACTGGTCCTGAATTGTACAAATTCTGAATGGAAGATTTTTCAAATGCAAGGCATATTGACTATAGCAATACAATTCAATCTGGTAAAAATACATTATGAAAGACAGTGCAATATTATAAATATTGTGGTATCTGGATAGATTAAAAAATTAATTTAACAACACACATTGAAAATCTCTTAGCTAAACTAAGACAACAACAATGCTTTCTTTTTAGAAATAACCCTCGCTTCCCTTCCTTTCTAACAATATTAAGTTTGTTTATGGCTGTAAATTCTGAAGACACATGTTGATGCACCTTTAAGTTTGATAAAGTACTCACCTTAGAGAAGATTTATGAAGAGATTCTGAAATGAAAGAAAAGTTGAGAGATACAGAGGTAGTTTATTTAAAAGTGCTTTATAAATAAATAAAGATGCTGATCTCCCCTTTTTGTTTGAGCAGCAGGCATGTTGTTCATGATGTGTCCCATAGCTGTCTCTGGAAATGAATCTCAGTGCAGTGATAAACTACATCAAAAGGTTTTAAAGTAGTAGTGGCTGTACGTCCATTAAAACTTCCCCATAATCAATTACAGAAAGGAAACCTGCTTCAATATTTCTTGTTCTAGTGAAGTAAGACATACAAGAATTAATAAAAATGCATTGTACACAAATAATAACCGAAAAACAAACTAAATCATTTCAAAACAACTTACTGCAGAGCAGTAAAAGCTTAATTGCATTCTCCCATCAGTCTTCAACGTCATTCATTCAATTCATCAGATGCCAAAAAAAGAGTAAATTATCTCTATCAATCAATAAAGCACATTTAAAAACAGGACGGCTGACCAAAGTGCTGTACATCACACAAAAGAGCGATAAGGTGAAAATACAGGAGCGAAAAACAACTTCTCTAATGAATCCAACAGAAAACAAAATTTATTTTTTCAAGGATACTTTCAATCTATAATTAGAGTTTGTTACCTACATCTTTACAACAACTCCATAGGAAATGAAAAATACACCCTTATCCTAGGGAAAAGGAATTTCATAGTGGCATAAACGGTGAATTCAGGAGGTGTTCAACTGTTGGCTTTTTGTCATTAACTCTTTTTGTGTGTGTTTATCTCGAGTAGCCCTAGGTGTTCTTAAAGATGCTCATAAATTGCTTAACAAAGAATGCGCTTTGTGTATATTTTAACCAGAGCATAATACCAATATCTCCTAGTGCTGCTGCAAAAATTCATAAATTATAGTCTATTTCTGCAGCTGCTTCCTCCTCGTTTACATAAAATAGGCAACAACAGCCCCATCAGGTGGACAAAACGGAGAATCACACTTCTTTAGCAGTATTAGACAGGTGATGTGCAAGTTTAAGGACTGCATTGTTGCCTGCGAATTGGTCGTAGGTCACATTCTATTTTTAATGATGACTTTGTCATTTATATCATATGGAAGTTCTGCCGATGCTTTTGGCCCTTCATGGCTTTAAATACAATATCACCCAAAATGCCCAAATATCGCTTCTGTTGATGAAAGAGGCAATGGCGACACTGAGGTGAATTTTGATGACGGCTATTTGAGGTTTTAGTCATTGGACTTTTTATTATAATAAATCACAGAATTCAATGTAGGCTGTGAAAGGTGTATTGCTTTATTTGAGAGCGAAAGACTGTGTAAAGCAAATACATAACATTTAATTTATTATGAACTCATTAAGGCTACATTACTCTTTTTTTTAAATAAAAATCAGACTTTTGTATGCTATTATGGATTTCCCTAGCTTTTAATTGCTACAACAAAACACGTGCCACTTGACAATATTATGCAAAAGGAAAAAGGGTACAGATCACCCTGTTGTCCCGCAACACACAAATAATACACAAAACAAACATGTTTTTAGTCCCACATTCAGCATGTCACCGGCAACAGCGGGTGTGCAATTGGTCTCTTGTTGCCCAATTAACTCTCTCATGTGGCTGTTGAAGAGTTTACAGCGTCTGTGTCTTACAAACACACACATTTTAAAGTCACAGAGCTCGTTATGTACCTGTTTATCTAGCACCACGGCAGTGCGCTTGTGATCAAATAAGGGTATTTTTTTAATATTGGTTAATGATTTACCTGTTGATTGCGAATGTGTAATGTCCCTGGTAATAGGTGCGAGAACAGCGGCTTGTTCCCATAGATACATCCCAACAGATGAGCTCCCATGATACCCAGCTGACATCGGGGTATACTACAGAAACCAGTTTGGCTCTTAACGTCACCTGCTGCTGCGTAACGGTGGACACGAACTGGAAAACTCTGCCACATTTCCTCCGTAGTCGACATAGATTCTACAAAAATGATAGATAGTTTTCACGTTTAACGCCAGGATCAGCTTTTCCGTGTATGTGGTTTTATTTTTAATTAGTCATTAACGCACAAATAGTAGCCTATCATTGTGCCGGACACCCTCGTGTTCCCTCTGCTGACCTTCTCGAAGATCTGCGTGCCACGTCCAGCTCTTCTCAACCCTAAACGTGGTTCCTGGATGGGCGAGCTCTTAATGTCATTATAATGGCCTATAAGCCTTTATCTCGCAATTGGGATCAGTCTGTTTTAAGATTATTATAACAAAGATCTTCCCCGTCGCGCGCCCACCTGATTTTTACGCACAACTATGAGCTCGGAGAAGCCAAACTTTCTGTCCCAGCCGGTCGTGAAGAACATTTTCATGTTCCGCAATGGGGATCCGTACTACGAGGCACGACGGCTTGTGATAAACCAAAAGAGGGTGTCAAACTTTGAGACCTTACTCAAAGAGGTGACTGGCGGGATACAAGCCCCGTTTGGAGCGGTGAGAAACATCTATACACCGAGAGGAGGGCACAAAGTGGACTGCCTCGATAGCCTTCAGACCGGGGAGCAATACGTGGCTGCTGGGAGGGAGAGATTCAAAAGGATGGAGTAAGAACAAGCTAACATTTGTCATTTTTAAAAACACGTTTCAAATATTTGTTCAAAGAGAAAAAAATAACAGCATATGCGTTAATACTGGTACATTATACCAGATACCTCTGTAAGTGCAGGTGTAGTCTGCATACATGCATGCTTGTCAGTTGGGACTTCCTAACTAATTCAAGTCTCAATAAAAGTATTTTGCACACTCTGAATTTTGCCACGGGCAGTGTTAGTCATAACCCATGTACATGCATCATTTTAAGCTTTTACGACGGACCTTTTCGTTTGGTCACGGTGTTAAAAGAATAAACAAGTAAACATGCTAAGTCACAGCATGGGGCAGATGCGATCAGCACTTATAAGTGTGCGTTACCCGGGCCTATAAATAAGCGGATTTATAGCCTACTGCAGATAATGAGCTTTGTGCAACTGGTTTATTCATAGAATGCAGTGGTGGAAAAGTTGGAATTGCTGGAAGCAGTGACAATGTGTTATAGCCATTGAGTTGTAAGCTGGCATGCTTCTTCATTACAGTAAAATCAGTAAATTGCCTGTGAGATATGTCTGGCGTGATCTGCTGCAGAGCTGATGGAAAAATAAACGCACATTTTATATTAAAAATCAAGTATTGCCTCGCCAGCCACATACTTTAAGTTAATACGTTTCTACCAATAATGCGTAAAGCATGGCTGGTATTATGTTTTAACTAATATGTGCTTACATAAGAGGAAGGCTACGGTATATATTAATTTTGAATTGGTTGTTGCAGCACAGCTAGCATCAAGAAAACTTAAGATAATAATTCAAATAAGTACTTGATGAAATAAGATACAATTTGAGGATGTTACAAAATACCCCTATTGACTTTATGGTTTGCCTCCAGTTATCTACAGATTGGCACAAGAAAGAAGAGACTGATGCAGACTCTACCAATTCAGGTAAGTGGAAAGTGCTGGTAGAGTAAAAAGAAGGCTCAGTTTCCCTTTTTTTTTTAAGAAAATCACTGTTTAGAGAAGTCAGTCAAGAAGTGTAAACACTACTGGTTGCATGCAGAAAAAAAAGCAGTGTAGTAGCTGTAGCTGTATTTTCTTTGAGACCAGATCACAGATGAATCACTAAAGGAGCTGTGTTATTAAGTCAAATGTTGGAATTTAAGAAGAGACATAAAAAAGAAGCGATGTATAAAAATAAATAAAGAGGAATAGAGCTGCCTGGAATAACCCAATATCTGTATAATCTTTGGCAGCACTCTAATACAATCTGCGGTGATGGAACTTGTTTACATAATTTACATGGTCTTGTCCATCATCCAGGCAGTCTTGGGGTATAGCACACACTTATATGATCTTGCCAAAAAGATTCTCAGGTTCCTCTCCGCCTCATTTGATGAGGCAACACATGTAGTGTATGTAAATTACAAGAACCCAAACACATCGGACATGTTTGTTTGTTCATCTGGAGTTCCACTGTTTATGTTCTGTTATGGTTTTATGGGCCAGAATATATACCTCGATAATGCACATTACTTCTATTTTAAGCATTGTTTAAAATCAAGTTATAGCGATGTTATGAAACCCCTCACGTGCTGTGTTTTCAGTGCATGGGTTCAGGGGCAATACTCTTGAAGTGCCACTATGTGCAATACACACGTGGATTTGAAAACATCACCTCTGCACTACTGCCCCCACCCGCAGTGTGAAGGTTTTTAGAAAGATCATTTAAGCAAGGTGTAATGTTGAGCATTGCTCTCCATTGTTCTCTGTGAAGAATCACTTTGTTGGCGTCTCAGTGGCCATGCATTATTGATTTTTGGATCATAATCATCCCGGCCTTTCAATGCATCTTTAATCACCATCTATGAAGTAGCGGCCAAAACAAGAACAGCTTAGAGTCAGGTAGTCCACAGGCTCATGTATCTTGGAAGTCAACTGCAGGTCTTCTTTCAAAATAAGTTGTTTACATGTTAAACAATTTTTGTCATAAAAGTTCCCACTGAAGGCAGCACACAGCCCATTTACTTTTGATTTGCCAATGACTTTTATCCCTGGCTAAAACCTAAGTATATTATCTGTATGTGTCCTGCCTCTGTTTTCTGTGACATGTTAATCATACAGACATAATCAGACACTATTCTCTGCTGTCTTGATGTTGTCCTATCACTGGATAACAAGAAGCCTTTTTCTGAGCAATAGCCTTAAGGACTTCTTGTTGCTGCTGTGATTTTGTGAGGAGCATAATGAGAGCCAATTAACTTCACAAGGACCCTGCTTCCCCCTCAATACCCTTCTTAACCTGCCTGATTGTGTCAATTAATGATGAGAACTCTTTGCTGGCTGGATGGAGGGCAAGTTGTTTCTTGTGCTTATTGATTCTAGAGCATTATTTGATGGGCAAATCAACGGAGGTTTGTCTGGTATATTTTTCAATATGGCATGCTTCCTTTTTTAATAAAACAAGGTCACCTACTTTTGTTTCTTTCTTTTTAACATTGACCCTACCTTTTTTTATTTAAGCTCAATGTTCCTCCCAAGCAACAGTGTACACAGACAAAACCCAGCCACTGTTTTATATAAAATGTAGTTTTTATTTGTAATAGGCTAAATGGTCATGGTAGTGTGGGAAGAGTCGGGGTCAAGGAAGCTGGAGCTTTCAGCAACCAAGGGGGTGAAGACTCAGGGTGAGGGAACAACTCTTCGGTTAGGTGTCTCCACTAATAAATCTATTGTTGAGAGGAGAGAAGAAATAAGAGAAATTGGGTTTAAAAGGAATTGCATTGCAAGTTAATTTAATTTCTTAAGTATTGATTTCATATCTTCAGTATTGAAGATACCTCCTCTTCATTAGCATTCATTATTTTGCATACTGCTATGTTAGCTTAGCACAATTAAAGCACAAAGTCATGCTGTTTGTTTGTACAAAACTACCTGTCAATTAAAAGTAAAAAGAAAAATGCTTACTAATGCTCCCCAGGGACAGATCCATGTACCGCCTTAGTGGTTTTAGTTTTTTTTACAGGCTTGCGTTCTTCAATACATGCTCATTCTCCGAACACATCTACTTTTGTCTGATGATGATATAGCTACGGCCAACTTATGGGTCTGCAAGTGTCGGCATTGGTTAGTGATAAAGGACTTCCAGCCAGAACTTCCATTCCTAAATGCTACAGCGTAGTAACATCATAGGCGAGGATGGAGTTAAGCGATGGCATGGCTTTTATTCATCTCTTAAACTAATATCTGCTTCTTTAAAATGATATCTGCATGCAAGAGCATAACAATCCACTCTTTAAATCTTTGTCATTTTTAATAGTCAGCATTTGTTTTGTTTTTATTATTTCAGCTTGAGCGGTTACTTAGAAGTACCCCGTTGTAGTATTTGTTTTGCAGACAACGTGTCTCTGCTGGATTATTGAATACCTCAGGTCACATCCTGAACCTTGTTTTATGAAGTAACTTTTCAAATCCTATTTCTAGCCTTCAAACCTCGGTTGCCAAGCCACACTCAAAAACCCCAGAGGACTTCTAATATACCTCTTCAGTATCTCTCTTTCTCGCCCTCAAAGGAGTCAAATGTTAGCCTGAGAATGACAGTGGGTTAGCAGGTGCTATAGGACGAAACCTGCAGTGCTCACTCTATTCAACCTCCCAACCTCAAAGGATTACCAAAGGCTCATTCTTTTGCTGTCACAAGGGTGAAGGACTTTATTATTTGACATGTGAACAAAAGGGCGCCATCTCTCCCTAAAGGCTTTGATGTCTCATAATCCTGTTTATGTTGTGCTGTTTACTAAAATAATCTTGCAGCAAGAGAAAAGGGGATAGAGTTTTCTTTTTTTTTTTACTGTTAGTTCTCATAATGGCTCTGATGCTTAAAACTGTTATGTCTCTAGAGGGTCTACAGAAGTACCCTTCCCTTCCCTGGCACAGGACAGGTACACTCAAGTTGTTCGTTTAGTTGCTAGCTTAATTGTTGATTCCAGTTTTAGCATAGTTCCCAAAGGAAGGTCTGTTGTTTTACTTCATCCACTGGGCAACAAGAGTTTTTTATCAAGGACGAGTGTGCAGGATTTAGGGACATCTAGTGGTGAAAATGTAGATTGCAACAAACTGATACCAAGACAACAAACAACGGACAACCAATATCCCCAATTTTAAAAGCATCGTCTGTTTTAAATCTCCCCTGTTTTTCTTCTTTTTCTTTATCTCTCAGGCCAAACCGCTGCCACCAAATCGGATCATCGTGTCAGCTCGATTCCTGAAGCCCCTCAAAGAGCCATGTACAATATTGTAAGTGCCTCTTTAACCTGTTGATTCTGCGTGCAAAGTGTACAGACATGCTCGTAGAAGGATGTGTGCAGTTATCCTTTGATTTGAGTATTATTTAAAATAGACATGGAAACTCTCTCAGTCTGTTGTTGATGTGCAAATCTGAATTACAGTTACTGTAAGGACTCCTAATCTCAGAGCATAGACTTCAATTTAAAGGGAATTGTAATAGTAACTTACAAAAATGTTTGGCTTTAACCATTGTGTATTTTCTGTACTCAGTGTGGTAGCAAATGGTGATGTCTTGAACCCTGCCATGAGACTGTTAATCCACCAGAGGATGCTCAGCCAGTTCGACAAAATACTTGAGATGGTCACAGAGAAGATGGGTTTGAGAGTCCTGGGCGGAGTTCGTAGGTACAAAATGTGCTTTCACTGCACACATGGACAGCTTATATTTCCGTATAACGTTATGATTCTCTTTCTATGCAAAACATTAAAAAAAACTGAACAGCAAAAGATGACAGAAGCTTCAAACTCCCACCATATGTTCTGTCAGTATAGCGATGCTCTCATAGGACTTTCCAGCACCTTGCTGCATACATTTTCATCTAAATGAAAAAGCTTCCTGTTAAAAATGTCTGCACCAACGATCATCTTTGCTCATGTGATTAATGACATGAGAATGATTAATGACATGAGAATGATTAATGAGTAAATGTTGGGTTATGTTTAAATTGTCTCAATAAATAGCTACATTTGTGATTATGGGAGGATATCTGCCTAATCCAATGGGGCACAAACTGACACAATTACATCTTTGAAACTATTAGAGCGTTGACTCTGCGTCTGTTTTCTAGTCTGTATACCTATGAAGGCCACCAGGTGACTGATGGGAATCATCTGGAGAGCAGGCAGCTCTATGTGGCTGTGGGGAGAGAGAGGTTTAAGAAACTGCCATACAGTGATCTACTTTTCACCAAACCCAGAGAGACGAGGAGAGTCAATGGGTAAGCACTGCACCAAGAAAATATATTAGACTGGACTCGATTTTTATGTGATATTATATTAAAGAAATATAATTTTTTAAATAAAGTAAACTGGCTTTCATCCTTGAAAATAGCCTTTGAATGTGTTGAGAAACACATTATTTTCAAGTCCATTGTTGGGTTTAGTGTGCATACTGTTTCTTTTTTTCCTATCACAAGCCAATAAAAAGTATGAAAATCAGCCATAATGGTTTAAATATATTTTACTGAAAACTACCAAAAAAGTTGAAGAACATGTGCTTGTGCTTGCAGGTTCAGATATCCTGGCAGTGTCACAGCACCCTCTGACCTCTGTATGGCCTCTGTTCCTTATGTGCACCATATATTTATTATCATTCCCTTGACCTCTAATGAGAAGATTTAAGCTGCTCCATATTTAGTATATGTTTAAGGAATTTAAAATATACTGTTCGGGTCCAGTTCGATCTGTTTGGACATTTGACAGCAGTAAAAAAAAAACACTAGCACTAAATCTCATCGTTTTAGCCTGAAATTTGATGACTGTCAAAAATATCTAATTTACCACATACCAATTAATTTAGATAGTAGGCTACATGTTAGTTCAAGACACTAAAAATGTATATTTTTCTAACTTATTACTAGCTATGCAGGCCTTATTCTTGGCTTAGATTTGAGTTTTTGCAGTTTTTGGGAATCTTGAAATCGTGCATCTGTAAATACCATGTCTGTGTGTATTTTTAGTGGACAGTAGTGGGAGAGTTCAAGAGCCATCAGTGACACTGTCATGAGAGCTGGCTGCGTTCACACCACATGTGCCCATGGTTCCTGCAGAAACAGGCACCTGATGGTCTTTGATGGGTCATGGAGGAAGCTCAAAACAGTGAAAAAGTAAAAACGGCACAGGAATGGTGCACAAAAGGAACAAGGGTCATATAAAGAGAAACACTAATGAGTACGCATACACATCAAAGGTATCCTTTAGTTTGTAAATTCTGTTGCTATTCTTGAAGAGTTGTGGAAACTTTCAAATACAATACTATGGCTACCAGGGCTTGTTCTTGGAAACCTCTCAGTTTGAGTTGGTGTGTTCCAGTGGGGAAAGTAATTATACTCCTCCAGGGCAAAAATCTTCTTTCAAATCTCCTGAGCCTTCATCTTTTAGCTCCAACGACTGTTATACAAATGAAAAATGTGCTGCATGTTTTACCTTTTCTGCTTTAGTGTTTCATGTAGACTAATGACAACAATATTTATTCAGTCTTCCACTTGAACATGGGAAAACGCTTTGTAGTTTTCCAGATTTTAAAATCTTAGAGAAACACTTAAACAGGCGTATTTTTATACCGTATTAGGTATTGATCAAGTAACTGTAATCAGAGTCATTGTTTGTGTTTTACTTTGCATGACACATTTCAGGTGTGTTCATGAATCACCTTTGTAAAGCAAACGCTTTATATAATACATACACTGAAGTAAAGTTATTTTTTTCTGTTCTGTTCACAGAATGAAAGCTTACTCTCTACCGCCCATCTACAGATTCTCCAAGCAAAATGGAAATGTAAGAGATGTTTCTGACTTAAGATGGAATTTTTGGATGTATACATATTTTCTTATATCTTAAAACTGAAAGAAGACATTCAACAAATTAATCATTTGTTAAGTATTCTGGAAGTAACAGAAAATTAAAACAATTTTTAACATTTACTCGATCATTAAGTAGCTTTAAGTTAAAGGATTGGTAGATGGAGAGAAGATGTGGAGTTGCAGTTATTTTGACATTCATTCCAAAATTGAAGGAAAAACTTTCGGTTAGCAGAAACCAAGAATCAGAGATACACTGTTTGTGCCTTTTAATGTCTTCATTAAAAGTATGTATATATTTCATATGTATATATTTATGTTACTTTACTCTTGGTCTGTCGCTGTCTCATCAACTGAACTAAACTTCTGTCTTCTCCAGGCTAAGTCTACAGTCATGTGCAGCGACAGTGGAGATGGAGACTCCAAGGCCTCTCCTCCAGGCCACACAAGCAACAACAAGGAGCATCTGTCCTCCATTGTCAGAGACATCTCTCAGGCCAGACTCTTCTCCCTGAGGAAGAAGAGGAGTGGACAGAGCATGACCCTCAGCATCGCTGATAATGGTAATGCAGAAGCACACACAACTGTCTGAATAAGATCAGTCAATCAATTTTTATTTGTATAGCGTCAATTCATAACAAATGTCATTTCAAGACAACAATAATCCATCATGAGCAAAGTTACAATGGCAAGAGAAGACTTCCTTTAGGAGGCAGAACAAGACTCATGATGAACAGCCATCTGCTGAAGCTGTTGCTGGGCTTGAAAAAAGGATAGATGGAGATGCAGGAAGAAGGATAGGGACAAGCAGACCTTACTCAATAATAATAAAAAATAATGTGATAGATTTATAGCTACGATGTTCGTAATAACGGTAAAAGTACGTGTCGTATTAGCAGTAATAACTTAGTATTTTAATTATAGAGGTTGAAGTTGGGCTGATCCCTTTAATATGCACTAAGAAGCACTAAGTTTAAACTTGCCAAACCATCCGAACAGCTCCAAAAGCATGGGTTTGAATTTCCCGTTTTAACTTGTCTTTGTCGGTGTAATGTGTAGATTAAAGGCTTGATTCTTCACACTTAAATATAATAGAAATCAAGTATATCCTCTGAAAATAACTCTGTGAGTCATGACTTTCTACAATGGGTGTAACACCCGAGTCCCACTGTCTGTGATGTTTTCAGAGTTTTCAGAGTCCTATCTTCAGTTTGTTTACATCGCCAGGACGGCCGGCTGACTCCTCCCCTCGTGTATAAAAGTTGTTTAATTAGACTAGAGAAAAGAAGAATAACATAATGTACTCACTGCTTAACTGTGTTTCTAGATCACGCTCATTTCAGGTCAATTTACATGCAGTGTGAAGATACGAGCATAATAAAGATCGCATTAGCATGCTAACACAACAATGCAGCGCGAGTTGTTTTGGTTTCATGCTGGTGCTCAAGGGCGACATCTGCTGGATCAAAAAATCATATAAAGCCTTTAAAGAGATTTGTGGAATTATGTGGTGTAGATAAAAAATAACAACAGGTTACCGTGGTAGAGTCGGTCGTCTCTCAACCTGAAGGTTGGGGATTTGATTCCCAGCTTCTGTAGCCACATGTCTGATGTGTCCTTGGGCAAGACACTTAACTCCAAATTGCTCTAACTGATTCGTCAGCGGAGTATGAATGTGTATGAATGGGATTAGTTACTTCATATAGCCACTAGGTAGGAGTGACAGAGTAGATTAGAGAGTAGAAGTAGAAGATTAGAAAAACACTTTTCAAGCTCAAGTCCATTTACAATCTTGTTTATCTTATATATATATATTAAAGGATTTAGAGACCTTCTAAACACTAGTTTTTAATCTATTTTCAACAAACAAAAGCAGTTATATTTACAGTAGGTCTAAGGATTTGGGATTCTTCTTCTCATCCTCATGTCACATAATCTTACTTTAAGTGTAATATGGCCCTTTAATGTCTGAGTGTCTGAATTGTCATCTCCCATAAATAGTATTTTAAACATGAGACACAAACAGGGCTTTGACACAGTCAGGATTATAAAACATAAAGATATATGATGTAATGCATGGCCTATGAAATCTTACGTAACCTGCTGCTGTATTAAATGTCCACACAGTGGCACTGTTGCTCTACATTAACATGTAGCAAGAAGTGTTGAAAGTAGGTCTAGAATGATGACATTTACTTCTATAACAAGAAACACATTACATCATCCTCTGGGTTCACAATCAGTACAATGTAATGTCCTGGAGAAACTCTGAATTTCAGCTACTTTTGTGCACATTGTCAGCTGGTGAACCTCTGAACATTAAGATGTTTTTTTTGTGTAGCCCCTGAACACAAACAGATTTTGTAAAGCATTTATGGAAAACAGTTTTTATGAAAGTACTGAATGATGTATAACAACATTAGAGGGAATAGTGAGCATATTTCTCCCCATCTCATTTTAAAGTTTTCCAGTAAAAGGGATGATGATGTTCCCTTAGACTGCTTCTGACCTTTATGTAAGGACTTCTGCAGTACTTAGTTACGTCATCCTGTAGCTCATGATAGATGTAGCCTGTTTCCTAGTCTGGCAGCAGAGTTGACAGCAGAAGCCCAGAGGAGCGTGGAGAATTGTGTCTTTGGTTCAGGGGAGCTGGCATTTTGCATCAAAAAGAGAGGGATGGGGGATGTGTGTGCATGATGTCTTTGTCTGCGTGAACATGTGTGCTTTTGAAACCTGTAATTTCACCCTCAGAATCCTGCTCTGAACATCAGATCGTGTGGCATGTCGCATTACCGGAAGAGAAAAAAAACATGTTGCATTATTGGTCCCCTTGGGTGACATTGACCAAAGATTAAATTAACAGAGAGACAGCTCAGAAAACAAGATCAGGCATCAGGCAGGATGGTTTGAATGGCTTTAGAGAGCATATCAAATCTTGTGCACCCTTCACTGTTTGACCTACAAAGTCTTTTTCAAGTGCTGTCATGTTTAAGTAACAATTATTTCTGTTATTTGTCCAGCTGAAAATCTGGATTTAGCCGTTTCTCACTGCTCTCATTGTATGGCATTGTCAGCTGGTCTCTGTCCATGGTGCTGAACAGATGTTCTGGAAACTACAGTAGGTTGATGTTTGCCAAAAGTTTGTCTTCATGATTTATTTTAATTTATCTCTATATCTATAACAAAAAAATGCTGTGATCATCGATTAGTAGAAGGGGACATATCCTCTGTGATGTCACCTATATGTATGTGAACCTTCCTTTCGATGCTCAAGTTTGTCTTTTTTCCATAACCATTTGTTTTTCAAAACCAGAAGCGACGTCAGGTTGGATACACATTGATACATCTCTGTAGAGGTATACAGGTCATTGTGGTAGGGATGTGTCAATTGCAGGTAGCCACACCCTAAACAGTATGCTGCTTTTTGTCCATTTAACTCTAAATGGGACCATTATTTACGAAATGCCCATCATGCTGTGTTGTAGAAGAGTAATTATGAAAATGTTAACTGAGGTAATATGTTAAGTTGGAGTAAGGTCATTTTCACAACTGGTTAAATAGATCAGATTTCTTTTCACTTCAACATCAGCTTCACATAAGAAAGATGGATAATAAAAAGAACAAAGAAGGCACTAAAGAAGACAGATTAAAAAAGGGAAAGCTTTCTTTTTTTAAATGGGCCAAAGTCAATAAAAGTTTTCAATAAAAACAAGCCCGTGGCTTGCTCACACCATGCCAGGTGGAGATGATACAGGTAAACTAGCAGTGTAAGATTAAGATTCCAGCTGTGCAACACAAAACACAACATATAAAGCACCTGGAAGCATTTATGCTCATATGCCCTGAGAAAGGCTGATGTTGCAGAAAAACTTTCTTAAAATGATAGTTCTGAACATGTCCTTATGTGCACCGAATTAGAAATGAGATTTTATGATAAAATACACTATGAATCATGGACCACAAAACCTATTCAGAACTAGTCGAAGAACAGTGGAAGTCATATACACACCCTATTCAAAAATGCTTGTTTTTACATCAGAAATTATAAACTCAATTTTGGTCTGATTAGTTCATGTCCTCATGGGCATACACTGACGTTGTGCATAGTAAGACGCGAGCCTGACCTAATTGACAGCTGTCGCAGTGAAGCTGTTTGTCAGGAGGCTCTAACCCTCTTCAGCTCTTAGCCTGTTGTTAGTTTGACTGAAAGTTAGGCTGAGACAGGAATTCCAGCATGACCGTTGCCGCCAATGAGCCTGCTGTAACAGATGGGTGACGTCACTTCTATTAATATTTACTGTCTTTAGTCTGGCCCTACTAGCCATACTGGTTCTGTGGTCCATGCTATGAATAACAAGGTTGTCGAGAATTGTGCACCATTTCGTACTACTGTACGAGTAAGGCTAAAATTACAAATCTCTAGTTTATGGTACCATATTATGCTTTTTCTGGTTTTATATGCTCTTTACTGTGTTTTCCAAGTGTCCTGTGCATGTTTAGACACATCTATGTGCAAAAATTCAAAGTCTGCGGAAACGTGGCTTCTCCTACCTCCTCCTGCATGCAATGCTCGGTTCTAGCCCCCCTCGAAAATTTTTTGCCAGTGTGACGTCTTGTCAGTGTGAGATCACTGATCTAAGCCCATTGGCTCGTTGTGGCAAGCCCTGCAGTAGCACAGTAGTGCTAAGGTGCTAATGTTTTTGCTCCCCGGCCCTCGGGACTCTGAACATGGGCACTTCAGAGCCTTAGAGAGAGAGTCAGAAGCGAGCCGGTGCATGGAGCGGCAGTACATGAAAACAGACACTTTTTTCAAACTTTAGCTATTGTGAACATACTTTAGTAGGTACATAGATTAAATATATGAACCCCAAAAAGGGCATAATATGGGCTCTTTAAGTGAGCCATGAAATGAGCCATGAAACCTCAGAGTTTCAGGCTCAGTTGTGTCTAGCACTGAGATCAGACACTCATTACGAATATTTACTGAGATAATCAATCATTTTAGTATCAGGTTTTATACTCTGACATTTTTTGCAACCACTGTGGTCACTTCCTGCTGGTCATCAGGGAGGATGCAGGTTTGATGTAGTTTCCATAAAAGAGTTTGAAGCTAGATGCTATGTGCTGTTCTTATTTACAGTTTATGACTTAACGTTTGTGAGTTCTGAATTCCTAGTTGTACGTTTGGCTGACTAACAAATTCAGTCCATACCTGTTAGCTGCTAAATTTAGCATTGTCATTATGTTGTCTAGCTTAGCTTCTCACTACAAACACAGTGTTTTTATCACTTTTGTATAGTGATGTACTGACAGCGTGGAGTTTTTCTGTTTTTCTGTGTATTATTCTGCCTCTTGGGAAATCCTGCCCTGACTGGTTATGAGGTAAACACATCCCATTCTGGTGCCAAAGGGAACACATCCAAAAAAAAGTTGTCAGACTGGCAGCTGCTGTGGAAAGAGCACAGCATGAAACCCACACTGTTGATATCTGGTGTGCTGGAACATTGGAGTGAAAACAAAGGATTATTATAAAGGTGTCATCTTATTACAAATACACCGAGACAGGCATTGAGACAAACAAGGAAATGATGG